ACGTGGGGCAGCGCACGCCCCGGTTCGTCATGGAAAAGCGAAGAGGGCAGCGAGTCTGTTGTCATGGAAACATGAACACGAATTTGGTTCCCCCAAATATTTCTTCCCTCAGAAACGGAGTAATCGCAACAAGAAGAGGGGTTCATGATGATGGCAGCAGCAGAGCACAAGTGTCACTATCGTGACGGTAGGCATTGCTAAACAAATAAGAGCGGCGCTTGTGGGAGTTGGGTTCACGATCTCTCCGTTAGCCCGTGCCATTGCTGCGACGAATCACCAAGCCTCGCTTGCCACGAAGACAACCTCTTTGAATAGCTCGTGGAAGTTGACGGCACTTTTTTTACGATGCCTTAAAGACGAAAACATATATCATCATTTCGATATAATTTGTGTTTCTCTCCCAACACGCTTAATTGTTAACAGCTGGTGCTGGAGCATTTTTCAACGCGGGCGTACATTTACAAATAGCCTCTTGGTCTTAACGGGACCAATTTGCCACCACCATTAGTAACGCTCGCCTAAGTCGTCTGTTCACCAGTAGACTGCCAAGGAGGCGCAAAACAAGCCTCTCCACACCGCGTCGTCTCTGCCGACCACCTTCAGTCGCAGCCACGAGAGACCGCCACCTTCTTCTGCTCCTGCTTTCAATGATTAAAAAAGTAATCAACTGCATCGTGCAAGGCATCTGACAAACTTTCCCGCTTTGATCGCTCAATGGCGTGCGGCCTCGTTAAGGGGTCTCTCAAGGGCTCGACTCGAGACTTTTGTGGGGATCCTGGCCTCGCGAACAGCAATGTGTAGGTGCTGCCCTGAAATGTCTTGTTACTTTGCCTGCCGTTCTGTCAACAGTCTCGTCCGTCAGCTATAACCCTTCTCTCAATGTGTTCTGCCCATGTCTAATAATATTTCTTAACATTCAATATAATGTTTCTACTTTGTGTTTGTTCCCTGGTCCATGTGTTCCTCTGTGTGTGTCTCAATGTAATTCCAAGACTGTCTCTCTCCACGCTCCTCTGTGTATTTTTCAGCTTTCTTGTCATATTCTTTGACAAATGTTCACGTTTCTGGCCTGTGCGTCACAGACAACTGTCTTCTTCACTGCATTTCTTTCCACACATCTCAGAGCTAATCGCGAAGGTTGTTATCAGGGTACAACCTGCGCGTCGTGAAGGCGGGGTGTGCGTCTGTCTGAGAGCAAGCCCTGAGAGAAGGAGGAGCACACTTTGTTACCCCACTTACCGCAAGCGACGGTGGAACAGTGATCTTTGGTCTAAACCTTCATCCAAGGAGCATCCCCAATGCACATTTGGTCAAGGCGCTCGGAAACAAAACGCGATGACGCATCGGACTAATGCCTCACATGAAGCGCTGCTGCGAAAACAAGCGTCTCACCTGCACATGAATAACACAGGTGCGGGTATGGCAGTGGGCCTTTGCCCTAGTTTATTGAATAAAAATTAGATCACCGTTAGCTTTTGTTTACATGCTCCTTCTGCGCCAGCTGCAATGTGAACATATTAGGAGCAGTGTTGCATTATAGTACCGTAATCAATGGCCGAATCACCCCTGAATGCTCACATTCTCGTCACATATTAGAAGCTAATCAGGCTGGAGCCTAGAGAGATGGGATACCACTGTGCATAGCAGGTATTGTAGGCTGAGCAGTAACACCCATTGCTGTACTGCACTTCTCTGCTTACGCGTCTATGAAACCCGCATTCACTAGCCCACACGGACTAGCGTGGTGAAGTATGGTCATATAACCACCACAGCCCGCATTGTATGGGGAAGCCCTCGTCCAGTAGTGCATTGAAAAGGGTCGCCGCACATGCGCACGGTATTTAAGCGTTTCTGTGGGAAGAATTATAGACTGCTTTGATGTCGATCTGTGCGTGCTGCTGCTGCTGCTGAGTGCCTAGGGGAGGGGTGGATCGTTGAGCCTGAAGAGAGCGATGAGCCGAGCGAGGGTTTGAATATTTGCTCGTCCGTTATTGTCAAATGTTATACATTACAATTGATGTCTCCAATGGATGTAAATTAACACCACATGTGAACGGATTATTTTCGCGCCGGCTAATGCACTATCCCATAAACTAATCTGATGCATGTGACCTTGTTGCGATGTGCACCTGCGAGCTGCACTGAGCAGCCTGGAGCGAATGCGGCACACTCCACCAGTGCGTGCATGGGACAGGGCTTCCAAAACCCCGTGGCTCACAGCAGCACTCCTCTCCCTGTTTACTATTCTTCTCTGTTCAAATGCAAATTAAGGAATTACACTCTGCTCACGCATTATGATGGGTAAATACTTCCCACGTCACGTAGACAATATTGACACAAGTTTAGAGTGCTATCTGCGTCACTTGGTACACACATACGCACACATTATGTTTATTTATATATTTTTATTAAATCAACGCTATCAGGTGGGACACACATCCACAACATCTACAAATTTGCATCGACACGACGTCACATGGGACAAACGCGTACACGCACATGACTTCAGAACTTCGTCAACTTGATTTTTGTTGCGTGTGGCTAAATAAACTATTCGAATTTACTTTCTTACGTCGCGTAGAATATACCTAAAAATCAACAGGCATATGCCTCAACAGTGAAGATCGGTAAGTGTTGAACGTGAACCGTGATATGTCGTAAAAACAGGAACGTGGAAATCCCTACCAAAGGGCAACCACTGTTGACCTCCACCAAGTGATGCGACTATTTCGAGATGATGGTCTAAGTCAACCCCAGACAGGATTTTAACTTGTAACCTTACGGTTGCAAGTCGAGCAGCAATAGCACCACCCAGCCAGATTATGCATTGGGTGATGTTCGCCAGGGAACACACACAGTGTAAAATATTAATTGAAAGTGGTCTTAATTTTCTTCTGAGAGCTTCCATTTACAGCATGTGTCATATATGGGTCTAGGCAGTTATATAACGAGCTGAAATATTTAAGAATTACTAAACATAAATAGGTTCTCTTTAATTATGTAGTTTCACTAAGGGATTCTATTTCATAAAAAAATGTGTGCTATTTTTAATATAATAATAACAACGTTTACTATTAAGACACTTATATGTCTCATTTCTAAAGTGTTTGCCCAGAATGGATTTCATGCGGAGCGGTAATTTATTTCCCCAGTACATGGTAATGGATAACTTAAAACACACTTTTTTATTTAACACTTTGCACCGTTGAAAGCGCCCTGGTACTGGGTGCGATAGACCCAACTGGCATCGTAATGAATGTTATGCCTCGTTTGCTGATTTAATTAGCCGGCTTGTGCTATAGGTTCATCAGTTTTAGCTAATTAGCCACGAGTTTGACAGGTAATTAAGAAGATGGGTGGCTTGGAGAGAATTCTAGTAACAAATGTCAGGCCATATGGTTAAAAAATATAAAATTATATTAAAGGAAATGTTTGGCAGAGGATAGAAGTGAACTTCCCATCAATGATTCCCGTATCAGGAAGTTATATTTGTCGCATTGTATTCATGGCAATGGGGTGTATCTTAACACGAGTGAACTTCAACAGGTGATTCGAGAGATGCTCTTTCCGAGCCCAGCCCCGGCTCGTCACCATATCAGTTCAGTATTTTTATGACTCGCACCTATGCTCAGATGTTTATAGCCACTTCTCCCTGTAAAGCATTAGATAAATAAATTCTAATCAATTATTCATACGATATGGTATTTGAGAAGTGTTTAACTAGCAGTATAGAAGCCGAAGGGTACCTGTTAGGGAAGGCATATTTGCCAATAATCATTTTTGCTCTTGCTTGTGTTACCACGTTTGGTGTAATAACCATTTGATGAATTTGGCTAGTTTTAAATCGGGTAAGTGCCAAAGATGGATACATTTTTTATACTAGTTTTAATTCACTTTGGATCATATCTACGACAGTTAGTGCTACCCGTTACGAACATGCAGAGCTAACGCATAAACGCAATTAATCCATGTTTGGAAAGAAGCGCTAAAAGCAATGAATGGGCGTTGATCAAATAAAGCTGTGAACGAGTTCGAGTGTCGGTTTAGCCATAATCACACTCGTGCCAATTCTCCATTATTTGACGCCATGAAGTAATCGTGTTGTTTGTCGATGTTCATAACATTACAAAAATAACACTTGTCCACTGAATGGCAAATAAAGTAATCGGACGGCAAACCTATTTTTCACGAGCATATTTTATTATACCAGTTATGCATTTCATATGACATTGCCCATTGCTTCATCCCTGCAGTACCAATAACATTAACCAATAACACTGCCTTCACAAGAAAAGTGTATAATAGCGAATGTTTCGAGTTATGTTGATAACAGTAACATATGAACGACCATTGCCCGAAACGTCGTATATTATATAGTTTTCCCTTTAATGCAGTGTTATTGAGGAATGTGTTGACTGTTTTATTATTTGTAACTTTGCACCACTGCCGCCAACGCAGTATGAAACAAACATAGCATCAAATATTGGTAAAGTACAGATGTTACTGTATTGGAGTACAGGAAACACACATTATAGATGTCAGATGAAAACATTTGCAAGAGTGACACGCAAGCAGGAGACAAGAATCATTCATGCACCACTTACTGTCACGTCGCCAGCCATTAGCCCGGGTGTGCCCGTTTGCACAGTACTGTATTTATCATGGGTATTACGATCCTTCAACTGTCACGGGCCATGGTCGCTATTCGATTCCAGCATCGATTATTTAAAAATGTGTGAATATAGCGGCCACTATGGGTGCCGCGTGAGCCGCTCACGATACCATACACAATACAAGAATTGACAAAAAACACGTTCTTACACTTGATTCGACGCTTGCATCGCGAGCCGGAAGAATTGATATTATTTGACGATGAAAAAAACCCGATGCATCGTGACACACACGTGCTTTGAAACATCCCTCACCCAGTGCACCTACATGGCACCACAAACATTGCAAGTCAGTTCGCGTGGGCGAAGAGGCCGTCTTGGCTCGGCTGATCAGGGAAACTCATCCCGGAGGCCGGTAGCTGCGTGGAGGAGGGATGTCAGCGGGACCTGTAGGGTGTCGGGTCCTGACGCCGCCATGAGCCCCCTCGCCACGAACCCCGGCTGCTGCCTCTGCACGTCGTGTTTGGCATAGGGGTACGGTGGGCTGTACACGGAGTCAGCCAGCCTGTCTGCTGCAGAGCACGCCTGAGAGCGCCGGGCGCCGACAACGGGAATGTGATGCTGCTGCTGCTGCGGGATGAGGGCGCTGTCCGCGGTGCTGACCCTCGCGAACGAAACGCACTGCGCGCCCACGAGCTCCGACGACGGTTGAGACGACTCAAACGAGCCCCCAGCCACCTTGTGGCATGGCCCGATACCCAGGCGTAGGCAGCCCGCTACGAGGTTGGTCGTGGGCTGTGAGAGACCCCGGCACAGGGTCCTGGCGAAGCCGCCGTGATCGGGGTTGAGTCCCGAACGCAGTATCTCGGAGAGCGCGCCAATGTAGTTGCGCGCCAGCCTGAGCGTCTCGATCTTGGATAGCTTTTGCTGCGTGCGCGAGTGGCACGGCACCACACGGCGCAGGCCGTCAAGTGCCGCGTTCAGCCCGTGCATGCGGTTCCTCTCCCTGGCGTTGGCTTTCAGCCTCCGCAGCCTGAAGCGCTCCGGCCGTGCCTTGCGCGCTTTGGGACCTCGCCGGTGGCAGGTCGGGACGGCCTTCGCCTCGCTTCCTGGCTGCTGCTGCTGCTGCATCAGCAGGGGTTGCTGTTGCGCATCATCGTCGTTGTCGTCCACTTCGTTGCGGTCTTCGTCGCCGTAGGTGGCTGCCGGAGGTTTGGCACCAGCACCGGTGCGCTCTTTGGCACCGCGGCGTGGAGGGGAGACGCTGGCGAAGAGAGTGGAAGGGTCGCCCCAGCAGCCATCGGAACAGGTGGCGCCGTCCGTGGCACGCGACCCCCAGGGAACGGAGACCCGGTCCTCCTCCTCCACCTCCTCGTCCATCGCGATTGTCTCTCTCCAGACGCCGATCTGTATCTCCCGGTCCCTGAGACGACAAGAAAACTGAGGCGCAAACCTGGGTTGAAAGCCAGTGCCTTCGCACTCTCTTTCTCCCTCCCCAGAGACGCGCCGTCACTTCTGGCTTTAACGCGCTCAAGCAGAGCCGCGCCGCTCCGATTAGGAGAGATATCACGGTGGTATTTAGAAATAAGTTATCCTGCTTCTGAGAAGTTAAACAGCGAGCGTTTGGCAAACAACCCAACTCAGTCACGCGACCAAAGCACGGCGTCTCTCTCTCATTTTCTATAGCTGAGGGTGTGCACAAATAATAATCTACGGGTATGATGGTTTTAAGAGGGGTTTGGTTACAGAGTTGTAGATCACCCTGCATTGGCAGTGATCCGCACACACTGTGGTACTGACCGAGCTCTGTGTCTTTTACTGAAGGACAATTATCACTATGCCGCTCGCTCAAACGAGGCAACGCCCCTGGAGTAGCGTTGCCACCCATGTGACGTACAGCCCTCGCCATAACGCTTTTGCAACTCAACATTGTGAAATTGGGCGATCGAAGTTTGCCTCCTGCACGAAAGCGGCCGCACGGTTCGATCGCTGGTGCAGGTGATGGCAAAACCAATGAGGACAGTGGGGAACTTTACGAAGCTTGAAATTCCTATTGGTGGCCTTTTTATGGGTGCCCAAACGCCATTCTAAAAGGTAATCACGGTATTTACAGCTGTTGTTAATCCCAAGGCTCCCAATAACCCCAAGGATAATTATAAGCGAATCATCAATGCGTGCGCTGTGTTAATATGCGCACTCTTTTCTGTGTGCACAGCTGCAGCCAGATTAACGTGACTGCCCGAATTTCCATGTAAATTCATTAAGCGTCTGTGCCTGGCATTCATACTTAATAATAAGTACATACACGCGAGCCATAACGTCTATACATACACGCTACTGCACCAAGTCAGTGTCTTCAGAAAGCGGAAAAAGATCGAAACTATTTATGATATAATTACGAGCATTAAATTCGGTTTAATGCGTCATTTCTGTAATGCGCCAATAGCTAAACCACTCCGATCGTTAAATTTGACTGCCCATCCATAGGAGGCTGAGCGAGTTAACGCCGAATTTATGCGCTCTATGTCACGATCAACTACCGGCCACGCGTGATTACGCCGCGGAATAATTTCCGTCATCCGCCCTCTCACCCCACATTCGCCACATTCTTGTACCCAAACCCGCACTCAAATTCCCACCTACAATGCGTGCTGGGGGTACGGAGTTTTAAATGTAGATAGCGATGCAATATGCACTACATCACTAACACCAAACAATACGAATAAAGTGCGTGCTGGTGTGTGTGTGAGACGATGCATGCCTTGAGTCATTGACGCGCAGACAAAGAGGCCCGGGTGTGGTGCTGGCCACCGACCCACCCCCCCCGTGTGTCGTGCCGGCCTTCATAGGTGCTTGCTAGCACCCCTTGTCCCACCGATCTGTTACGGCTAAATGGGGGATCTGTGTGCATGAGTGGAGGGTGATGTGCAAAGTGTGCGCACCTGTTCGACGCTCCGTGCCGCGTGTTCCGTCCGGCGTGAATGAGTCGACGTTGGGATGTTAGCGATGCGTCCCCGCAGGATTGCCTCAACTGAGACTTATGTTTCAATGAATGAGTTGGGATGAGAGTGCGTGAGCGAGAGAGCGAGTGAGTTAATAGGAAAGGGGAGAGCGCTTTCTGTCTCAGACCAGACCCAGCCACACCGCGCGTGCAAATGACTCGCCCGATTGCTGCACAGCCGCTCCACAACCCAACTCAGCATCTTCGTTCATATCACCATCAGAATGGACAATACACAATACACGTGAACTCATTCAGAAACGCTTCAACTGAGTCGCAATACTCTCTTTTCAGAAGACAATAACGCTCCGTCACGTGTACGACACATAGAACCCCCCGAACAGTCGACTCACGTTTCGGCAGTGAATGTCAGATGGTTAATACTTTGACCTTTACTAATTACTTACCGTGGAATCGCAGGACAATCCTCGCCCCCTTCAGCGAAAACCCTTCAGCAAAAACCCAACGAGGCTTTTCTGGGTAAACAGGTGGAATGATAATATTAGTTGTTGGGTTAGGCCACGTGGTAGTGTTATGCCAACATTGCAGTCATTAACTATGCACGATTAACCACGACACCTTGCTGATCTCGTCAAGGAGCATACACCATCACGCAAGCTCCGGTCACCCTCGCAGCGCCTTTTGGCTAACCATCGAACAAAGACGGCGGTCACCGCATCGCTCGCTTTCAGATGCGCTGCTTCTGCGGCCGTCTGGAACGTTCTTCTTCCGATATTAGGAAGCCACTGGAGCTATACACTTTTATATCTACTGTAGATTGAAAACTATTTTTTTTGGAAATGCTTTTTGTGTTTAGTTTGTTGTCCTTCCCCCGCACTCCGATTAGCACGGTTGGCTACGTACGATGCGAAAAAGGTCAACATAATACACGATGGTCAGGTTTGCGCAGACATTTATTAATCTCTTTATAAACGTGACAAATCTTGTTGAATGGTGGAGGGTTAATGGCAAAAATTGTGCCATAAAACGTCTACGTGGCCTCATCCAAACGCAGATATGGATCACTATTGGCTACGAAAACCGAAGTTTTAAGTGTAATAATAGTAATAGTTTATCTTCATGCTTTCATCTCTCCAATACGACTCGTGTTATTATTTTATTACTTCCCTTCTACGTGACTTTACCGAAAGAACCAAGAAGACGACTCGTGCAGCTATGAAATATTCTTGATGAGATCACATTGCTGCGTCTGGCTCCTATTTTGAACGTTGTCACTTTGTCACCCTGATAAAACAACACAATACCAATTCCAACGCATTCGCCAGTAACACTGCTTTGGAAGTAAAAAGTAAAAAATTGGGCGATGTTTCGGACTGGCCCTTCTTCATGGCACATAAACCAAACGTCGCCTATTATATAATTTAACTTTGAAGGCAATGTTCTTGACAAATGTGTTGAGTTGTTTTGTTCTTTGTGCTTGCACACCGCTGCCTACGTAGCAGTATCACAAAATAATGAGTTTGAAATCCCTCTTAAGTTCGATCGATCTTTGCATTTATCACAGCTGCCGGTGGTGACGCGTGAATGGATTTGCTAGGGGCGTGGGCTAAGGGGGCGGGGTTGGTGTGGGGGGGGGGGTCTGTCCGCGCATGCGCGCTGCAGCCCGGCGACCCGCCGCGCTCTTCCTCGTCTTGTTCGTTACGCCGCTGCTATCGCCGCCACCGCCGCCACCGCCACCGCAACCATGTCGCGGGGAATCATGCCCAGCCAGCAGAAGCTGGCCGAGAAGCTCACCATCCTCAACGACAGGGGCGTGGGCATGCTGACGCGCATTTACAACATCAAGAAGGTGAGCGAGGTGGACAGGCGACCCGGGCCCCGGCAATCACGGGCCCTGCCGTCTCACCTGGGCGCCCCCCGCGGGCCTTGGGGCGAGGTCGCCCGCAGACACGGCCAGGAGTGGACGCGGCTTCGGGCCTATAGGTGGGGATGGGGGGTGACAAATGGAACGAGGAAACTACAGTAGCAATGTCGTGACAATTCGTATCAATAATGTACAGCCATTGTTTATCCACTGCTGGATGAAGGCCTCTCCACGCCGTGTCACTCAGTGGGAATGTTTGCCCATGCGTCATCACGCTGGCCCGTGTGAATCGGTCAAGTGGGAACCACAGGGCCGGCCCAGGTGGTCGCCACCGATGTTCGCCTCGGCTGGGAACATGTCTCAGGCGGCCGGATTCACCGCTTCCACTCCTAATTATCGTGTGAATGGCTAAATGAAGGTAATTTCATGTTAGATGCAACTCCCATCGAACTAAGAAGGTTGGCTGAGGTTGTTGACAGTCCCTGCTGGAGGAGAGGACACGTGAAGAGTGATGTGTGAGGGATGGGGCAGCTTGGGGTGAATCCATGGAGATCTTGAAGACGAATAGTTGGAGAATTCTCTTGCGAGCTAGTCGTAGGGATAATGGGTAAATTTGTAACAATTGCCACAATTATAATCCCAAGCAATAACAACATAAGTAAACTTAAATTCAATTGCAATGCAACGTAGATTTATTTATAAAGCACCTAATTGTCAGTTTTGCCATACGCCTTGCACGAAGACACAGGGTGGAGATTGTAGTGTTTTCCAACATTCGTGAGTTGTTGGTGTATAATTAGAAATCGTTACGGTATCCTGTGCGTAGCTTATGGAGTACTATACAGCACAGTACACTTTTCGACTTGGTTAAGGCCATTAGAAAATAACGCCGTGATCATGATGGATGTTGATGTGATTGTCTCACTCGTGGCTGCGTATGCGTTACTATACCTATGAAATGTGACCGTCTGCACATTCGTTTGCGGTATGTGTCGGTCCCTTTGGGGAAAGAATGAGTGCGTTGTTTCTTTATGTAATGTGACGCTTCTTTACAAGCCATGTTTTTATTGGGCCATGTGTAAGAAAAAGGAAATGGATCAAAACTTTTTTAAAGTTTCTGAACCAACGTGTTTAATCTGACGTGTTTCAGAATACAGTACTCACTATATAACATCAGAACTGCTGCTGTATGTTAGTCAAAATACACAAAACGTGTGTTCATTATTAATTATTGAATTATTGCCATATGCGAAGCATATCCCTAAACAAAACCAACTGTCGCGTAAGATTAGGTTGTTGAGACCACCACACGAAGTGTTGCCAATCCGGTTCACCTCGTTTGATTCTTGCTCAGAGCTGTTTAATAGCATCAAAGGAAGACGTCCCAAAACATCAATCTTTTATCTTCTAGGTAACTATAGAACACTGTAGAATATTATGATGTTAACCATGTCTTCACATTTTATTTGATCAATAATTAGGCTTTCACACTCTTGAGTGGACAGCCTGGGACGCATGGCCTAAGTGAGACAAGAAAACTAATTATTTTTCGGGTAGTCTTCTTTATTAGTAAATACTTTCATCTTCATTTCTTATGGGCGGTCTATGCCAATAGTTGACCAAGTCTTGATAACCTGTGGTTTTATGTGGTTTAAATTATTGTGCATGATGTCCGGGGTTCGTATATCAACGTTTCTCGATTACATTGCTTATTTGGGATTAGGAAGCTTGGTGACCTGCACAAGTAAGCTGATTTTTGGAAATTTTATCAAAAAACGTTATTGTTCTCTACCAAGGTTGCCAACGTCTCATTGGTTTATCAATATCCTGCACTTGGCCATCTTGATATATTGTATATTAATTCCAGTGTGTTGCAGACTGCTGGCAGCAGATGGATTTGTATATATAAAAATCAATGGGGTGATTTTGAGGTTGCAGAGGAGCAGTACCTTTGTACCAGTCACTCTCGTCTGTTTGTGTTCTTTTTTATTGAGATGTATTTAGGCCATTTACCTGTGACATGGTTAGCTTTTGTAACACATCAAGGAAATGTGTTTGATCAAAGTTTTGCATTGAGTTTGGTATTACCAACATTGTTTGCCTTGTTTTACGGTAAGTTTTCCAAGGTTTCTTGCAGGAAAACGCATTTGATTCATTCTGAAACGTGTTACTCCATTTCCTCTTCCCAAATCATTTTTTGCATATGCAGTTTTTGTGACGAGCCATATTGTGTATTGTGAAGTTTGGTCACATTTTTTTTATTTAAAAATCATTTAAGCATTTTAAATGTAAGCTCTACATTTGGTGTTTTGTCTTAATGTGTGCATGTAACTTATGGAGCAAAATCACTATCAAAAGAAAAACTGATCTCTCATTTGTTTGTTGTTTACTGAATTACCCCCATATATAGACTTCAAGAAAACTGCTGACAGTTGTATGACGTGGCTGGTTAATTCTCGGGAGCGCACAGTAATGTAGTTGATGAGAGTAATCGCCATTATTAATTAATGGAAAACTAGTTCTGCCACGTGCTATAGGTAAGCTTTTTAGATTTTTGTGCAACGTGTACGATTTTTGTAGTGAAAGGTTAACCAATTCAGTGTTTAGTAAAAAGCAAGATGAATAATTTGGCCCCTTAATCATCTGGCCTCCCCATAATGGAGGCGATGTGGGTTTTCAGTCACCAGACACTGTCCCACTCCAGTCCACCATCCACATCCCTCTACGTTCTCCATTCAAATGCAGAATAGATTTTAAACAATCTAAAACTTGCATAAACGATACTTGTAGCAGTTAACAGTAACCATGTTTTTGATAGTGACAGCGCTTCATAAACTTTCTTTTCTTCGTTGTTTGGTGCTGAGGTCGCTGTGTTATATATCTGTTGTGTTTTTTTTCTGTTGCAATGCCTCTCTCAGCAAGGACAAGTCTGGAAGGTTTGAAAAATGTTTTATGCTCCTTTACCAAATCCACAGACTACCATGCCCATTCAGCAGTCTATGCTATATGAATGCATACACGAGCCTGATTGGATGCTGATAACGTAACTCCGTTGTGGGATATCATTTGGCATGGCCTGTTGTCAGTGGCCCTGACTTTGGGTCCCCTTCCCACAAATTGCTTGCTATACTAACACTCATCATGTTTGCATTGGTCTTGCTGGTCACTCTTTTGTTTTTCCACACTTAATGTTTCCATCACCATTTTTATTATTGTTTGAACTGTCTTAAAATGATATTCATTATTAGCTGAGATTGGGAAAAAATATCTTAGAGCATTTTAGCGAGCAGGCCTTCAGAAAATGTTCTTAAATGACATCAATGTACAGTCATACCATTGTCTACATTGTATTACATGAATTATCTTTTGGCTAGCTCTGTCCTGGCATTGTCCAGTGAGATCAGTGGGAGCTTAGTGCTGTGCGCATTTATTAGGCAAAGGCAAATGTCTGCCTTTCAGTCAAAATATGGGGCTGGGGGTGAATGTCAGTTTCGTAAGTGCATTGTTACTTCTGCCAGAATGACTGCATCATGAGTAACCAGATGTGATCAACTGAAGGTACGCACACCGACCCCTGTGTGCAGAAGCAGACTGTCCACAATGGAGCTGTCTGTCTATGCAGGGCAAGCATTTCTGTGGGCTAACTGCCAACACAATTTATGTTTTTTGATCCTATGCTACAACGGTTGGTTCAAGGAATGTATTTTTTGTATACGATAGTGTTTTTGTTCATGTCCATCAAATAAATTAACATCCTAAGTATTGTATACTTCCAATAAGGGATACAATACAGTAGCATATATAATTTTCAGAATTAAAGTAGTAAATTATAATTGCAGCAACCATAATTACAAGAGCTGAAGTCTATTGTTTTGGCGGTAAGCTTCCACCCACCACATTTTGCGACTTCCTGCAGGTGTGAGGTCAACGGTAGCCTTCCGCTTTGTCTGTGTCCCAGTGTATGCGCTGGTTGTTTTTCTGCTTAACATGATCAAATATTACAGTGAAATCCATGTTGTTAATGTGTTTGTTGGAAGGTGTGTGTGTATTTTTGCTGTTCCAACTCAACAGTGTTGTGGAACTGACACTAAATGACTCTTGAATAATATTTTTGTTCAGTCAGCTCTTTTTACGTGAAAAATTCCTGTTCACTAATTATTTTGATAAAAATAATGATACATTTTTTATAGAGCTGTCTTCACATGGGACATCTCTAAATCTTCATTGCAGGATTCCTTACAAGTCCACGACTATGTGTGAACCACACATCAAGAACCAGCTAAAATACTGCTAAAATATATATTAGTACTGAGGGATTTATCACTCATCTCATATGAGGTGCAGTAGATTTTCAAGTTGGTGTGTACATTGTTCAAGTTGGCTGTTTGAAGAAGGCTACATGCGTGTAGTGACATGCAGTGCCTATTTTAAATAATTGAATGTGCATACATTGGTATTTTGTTCAGCAACATGCAGTTCATGGACATGGCATTGGACATGATGCATGGCATCATTTTGAAATACGATCTGTATATTATTACTTGGAGTCTCTCAGAAGGTGTGATTAATTCACAAGAATACTATTGCGCCTTTATTAGAGAAACCACTCTTTGTAATGCTGTAGAATCTACCCTAACCTTGACAATAAATTCATCATAACCAACATAGTAACACATTTTCCACTGAGCCTTTCTTTTTGTAGATGTGACATTGCAGTATATGATTTTCGAATAATAACTTTTTATAAAATGTATGTACAGTAGAAAGATCGGTCCTTTTTAAATGGTTAGTTTAAATAGTTATTCATTTGCAGTGGGTGAGGTGAGCAGCATGCATCATCACAATTGGTGGGATGTGTTGCTTCTGCAAAGACTCGATGCAATCGCATGATTGAAAGTGCTATAACTGAACGGCTTAAGTTTCCCCGCCATGCATTTTGTCTGCATGTCAAATGTGAGCAGTGCCTGGTATAGATACACAATGATATAATTCTGCTAATAACAACCTATTGAACTAATTCAATGCAACATTGACTTAACAGGACAAATGGTGCCTATGGTTAATAAAACTGGTGAAATGGTTAATCTTGACTTAAAGCTTTTGTCAGGATGACGACCGCTTGTATTGCGATGGAAGCGTCGTAGTTTTTTGTTATTTTCTTTGAACCTATCTATGTGACTTTACCGAAAGACCCAAAGAATATGGTGAAATGTTAATAATGGAGAGAAAAACACAGCTTACAACTGTTTAATTCTACTGGGCAGTGTTTGGGGGTGGAAGGACTGAGCACCTGCAGCAGATACAAACTGCTCTAAACCTGATGGGGTTTAATTTGTCCTGTTAACCTCACCACTGATTGCCGTGCTCGTTTGTCATTGCCTGCCTGATTAATCACAACGGCAACTTTTTCCAGCACCCTTTGATACTCTGCACAATGTGCTTATTTTTCCACCAAATTGAAGATATTTCAATACTTGTATATATTTTTTCTAACCATGACCACTTCCCATTTTCTATTTTACAGGCGTGCGGAGATGCGAAAGCCAAGCCACAATGTTTAGCAGACAAGAACCTGGAGTCTGCAGTCAAATTCATCGTGCGCAAATTCCCGCACGTGGACACGCGCAACAACAGTGTGAGTGTTGCACGCGGTCAGGTTTGGTTTGACACGAATCATGGCGACGGACCATCACGTGTCATTACAGTGTTTTGCTGACGCTGCCGTCTGGGGGTACAAATTATGAATCCGTTAATGTTAATTCTTAAGCGTTTGATGCATGCGTTGATACTTAAGTATGTAAACATCTATGTTTTTCAAGTCGTAGGTCTCGTACTTAATAGGTTTGTATCACCCCTGTCGCTGCCGCTTGGCCCCTCCAGTCACCGCAATGTTGTTATATAAATGGATTCTTTAATCGAATTGAATCACAACCCTTGATCATGGCAGCTTATGAACTTTCTGGAGGAATTAATCAATCTGCCTCCACTGATTATTTATTATATTTTGATACAGGAATTTTGTATTATAGAACATGATTTGATTTTCAAAAAGGAGATGGAAGGACACATTTTCAGTGTTTCGAGGCCAATAACACGTCATATTTGCGTTTTCCTAGCTAGTATTATGTAATATTTAGTTTCTTGTACTGTGGTTAACATTCTACGAATCACTTTGGGCAATATTTGATTTAAGGGTTTTTGGAACTGTGGTTGTAGTCTGCTGCTCTGTTTTTTTCCATTCTTCTGCTAGTCATCAAACTTTGTACGTTGTTTTTCCTTTGCTTATTATCATCAATTACTTTGTTTTCCAAAATTTTATCTTGCATGGCAACATCATTCAATTATTGGATATGATTTATGGTAAGTGCAATGTGTGTTTGGTGTGCTTTGGTGCTTCTTAACACGTGTTTATAAGGAAACATGATAACAGCACCTCATTGTCCGCTGTCTGGCTTCTGCATCTGTAATTGCACACGCCTGCATAATATAAATTTGCACTGATTCTAACAACATATCATTGTTTGTCTTTCCAGCTTAACTTCTCGGGCTATAATGCAAATTAATATTTTCAGCATATTTAATTATGTATAAAAATAAGTGCTTTCAGTGGCTCTTGGTTTGTTGTGCTAACCTATTAAATCTCAAACTGGCAGTGTTCCAGACTGCGCTGTTCCATTTGCTTTCAACATTAATCTGATACCAAATAACTTGGATTATTTGATATTTTTTTCATTATTTTACTTTAATTTGTTTTCTCACCATCAGGAGAAAAACAAAATCTGTGAATAGCGACTGCATACTAAATAGGTTGCATTTTTAGAAGGCAAAAATGTTCATTGCACACATTGCATGTCGTAATTTACTACCCCGTTGTGCTTATTCAACACAGCAACAGCTTACCCATCTCAACACTCAGAAGGCCGACATTATGAAGAACCTGAGTCTCTATTACTGTACATTTGTTGATATCATGGATTTCAAGGTCTGTTTCATTTATTGTTACACATTTGTGCACCTTCCACTAGTTTAATACCTTACATTGTTTGACCTGGGAATTACTAGCCCTTTCATTGTCCAAGGTGAAATGTTTCCACTGAATTGCACTTTTCTACTTCTGTGGAACATGTGTTATTTGTATGAATATTTACAAATTGTTTTACGCATCCTGATTTACAGTTTTGTGTCTAATTTTCCTGTAAATGTTTCGCTTGTGAATTTTTGAATGGACAACATGAAACTACTAATAGGTCTTATTGTTTAAGATTAAACTGGGCCTCTGCTCCCAAATGTGCCAGAAATTAGGATAGCTGAACTTGCTGCAGCGATTGTGTATGTATCGGGGTTAATAATAACGAGATCACATTCTCACCCTTCAGGACCATGTGACGGAGCTGCTGAACACCATAGATGCTTGTCAGATCTACTTTGACATTGTAAGTGGTAAACCTTTACAATTACTTATGTATTCTACCTTAAGCAAAAATGCAATCTGATTTCATAGCCATATAACAACTGGTGGAATAAATAAAAGTAAAATGAAAGTGTGTAGAGCATTTCAACATATACTGTCAAATTTCTCCAGGAGAAATAAAGATTCTGATTCTGTCTTGCTGCCTGCAGACGGTGAATTTTGACATCACCAAGAGCTATCTGGACCTGATGGTGATGTACGCGACCATCATGCTCATGCTGTCGCGCATTGAGGAGCGCAAGGCCATCATTGGCCTGTACAACTACGCGCACGAGATGACCAACGGCTCCAGGTATCAGTGCGGGACCGTTCCACCCCAACCACACTTTTTGACAGCGTACTGCCAGATGTTAAATAACAGACATATGTGCGGTGGTGCACACCAAAAGTTAAGTGCCTTGGAAGTAAGGGTCGGTGGCTCGCGTAGATTTCGAAAATTCTCAACCTCTCCAGGAAAGGTGACAATGCAGCGAGTTGATTCGTGAACTTATCTGTGTTGTTTAATTGCTGTCCCATGAATTAATTGTATTTTTCTCCCGGTATTCTGGTTTCCTGCCACATGCAAAACACTTGTTGAAACGAACTGACCTACAAATTTCAAAGTGGGACCTTCAGTAAAAATTCAACAAACTTTTCCCAGATAAGTAAATTCAATAATTATTATTCTTGGTTCTTTCGGTAAAGTCACATAGAAGGGAAATAATACAATTATTAAAATAAAACATTAAAATTATCACAACGTTTAGATTGCAACACAAGCCAATCATCATCAGGTGTGAAAACCTGATGATGATTGCTTGTGTTGCAATCGAAACGTGAGAATTTAATTGTTTTATTTTATTATTTCCCTCCTATGTGACTTTACCGAAAAAAACAAGAATATTAATCCCTGCAGTCAAAAAAAGCTTTAAATCGAAATTCAACAATTATTGTTTACCAAGGAAAGCTTCGTGTTATCTCACAACTTTTTCAGTCGAGTCTTGCAATGTAAATATTTGGCTGGTGCCTCATTGAATATCTGCATTGCAGTGACTATGTCAAAGTATATATTATTGAGTATATACAATGCCATTATGCATTTGAGAGATTTACAGACAATTAAATAATAAATCAAGTCATCAGTTTGTTTCATTTCCAAAATTACATTAAAATGTTTAGGTCTTTCAGCAAAAAGAGTTTGTGGGACATTTTCTTTTCATAACATTTGGGTCAGTCTTGATTTAATCCCAACAGCAGGGTGTGGTCTGTACGTACAGCACTTTTAAAGTTTTGTACACCATTATATTATACACTGTTTAGTATTTTACAAGTCACATTAATTATCTTACGTGTTTCAATTGTAAAGGTGTGTTTGTCCTTGTAATCTCTTTTCTGTGCCATTATCTGTGACTTCGGTAATGCATTGTATTAATTGATGTGTGCTGAATGCGTGCATGCCACAGTCACAATTTCCGGTTTTCTTCATTTTAATGAATTTGTTTGCATCACATCTATTAAACATTACCATATTGAGAAGCAATAATAATACATCCATTAGTTATATTATTATGGGTATTGTGAAGTAGATTAGTGGTTTTTGTTGGACTTAAGGATGATAAGTTGTTTCCGTTTGCAATGTTTACAGTGACAAAGACTTCCCACGGTTGGGTCAGTTGATTCTGGACTACGAGAACCCCATGAAGAAGATGATGGAGGAGTTTGGACCACACAGCAAGGTCAGGCCACATTTTGCCTTTCTTCCCATTTACTAATACATTTACATATTTCTGGCAACTGATATAAAGCCCCCCATATTGTGTCGATCATGGGGTTTGTTTGACCATATCTCACTGCTAGTCAGTACGGATTGATAAAGGTTGGGAGAGGGAGGGGGGCTTGAAGACCAGCTAAGATGTCGCACCGCTGGTATTGGCTGTGGCCCGGAATCAAGCGTTGGTCACCACATCCGTAGTCCAGTGCACTCAGAATAGCATTTCAACTTTCCAAACAACCACAGTCATGATCTGTGTGCATTAATTGTACTTGACAAAATTAAATAATTGCTGTCTTTATATTACCGATTTCTGAAAATTAGGGATGTAACAATATTTTGGCAATAATAATATTTTCTGACAATGTTTGCATTGTGTATATAATAATCGATTACTTTCACTTTGTATGTCGCTGTAGAATCCACATACACAGCAATGATATAAAATTAGTTAATAAATGGAATTTGGATCCTGAATTGTCACTAATTTTGTCTAGGGAGTAAAGCGTTATATCCATACTAACAACGGTGCCATTACATTGATAGTTCACTAATTGATTGAGAAATATCAAATACCCATAACGTGCTCATAACATCTCTTTAGTCCACTTAATTTTACGTTAAATGTTTCATAAAGGAGATTTATTTTTACATTTATGACGATGCACATGTAATAATGCTGATGGGACGATCCACTGACAATTTGTGGCCCTGTTAGTCGGTGACAGAGGCGCTCTTCTCGCTGCAAACGGTGTACCCGCGGCGAAACCTGTCGGCCGAGCAGTGGCGCGCGGCACAGATGCTCAGCCTCATCAGCGCCCCGTCCGCCATGCTCAACCCCGCTCAGTCCGAAACGGTACGCCGCCGAGCTCGTCACTCGCGCCTTGCTACTCCTCGTGACCTACAACGTGAGGTTGGAGGCCCTTGAAAAATGTAATGGAAATAGTGTTTTTATAAATATGCAGAATGCACGTGCTTTTGGTGGCAGTTGGATCTCATGATATCAGTATGTAGCATATGCAACCATTAGCACAATAGTAAACTTTATTTTTATTGCCTCGTATTTTGCGTGAGATTCCAAGAAATTGACTTAAATTGTATTTGCAGATGCCATGCGAGTACCTCTCCCTGGATGTCATGGAGAAGTGGATTATCTGTACGTACACATTCTTATTCTCAGTACATCAGTGTTGTGGACTTAGTGTGTTCCATTGCCCTTCATTAAACTTGACTTTAAAACGTTGGTGCTTTAAAACTGGGCTCTGATTGCAATGGAATGATTTTAACAGAAATTGTTGGGCTATACGCATCTTATTCTTGTGTGTGTTTGTGTGTGTGTGTATATTTGTGCGTGTCCATGCATTGGTCTTTCCAGTCGGCTTCCTGCTGTGTCATGCCAACCTCAACACAGAGCAGATGGCAGTTACACTCTGGCGTCTGGCGCTGAACAGTGGCTTCTGCCTCACACTTTTCCGTGACGAGGTGTTCCACTTCCACAAGACCATTGAGGAGCTCTTCCTCAACATCAAGGGGTGGGCTGCCGTAGCTTGGTCCATGCATCGCGTCCTTTCATTCCTTGTTCTGAGCTGAGCAATGTTCTTCCATGACTTGCTAACTATACTTTATGATATTGTATCTTACATATTTGATATTGAATATTGTTGCATATGACACTAAGCTGTACAAATACCAGAACCTATTTTCCATTATTTTTGCCCCTGAAATAGGTACAATAAACGTGCCACGGAGATTCGGGAACTGAAGGACCACGCTCTGACACACGCGTAAGTGCTGCATTCACACGTGCATGTGTGAGATAACGTTCTTTGAATGGTCATACGGTGTGCGGAAATGCATTGACATACTAAGTTTTCCCACATTAGACATGGTGTGGACAGCTTGTTGACGGCGTGTTGACGGCGTGTTGTCATGTTGGTAGGGGGCCCATGCACCGCGAGAGGAGGAAATTCCTAAGGGCTGCACTGCGAGAACTTGTCATGGTTCTCACCGACCAACCCGGCCTGCTTGGCCCCAAGGTATCAAGATCGTCCGTTCCGTTTCATTAGACTTTGAGCAGGCGATGGCCTGGTTTCCCACGCAGGATGTTCTTGCGAATGGAAGTCTCAAGTCCGAGAGATGCTTTCTAATGTAAATATTATTGACCCTTTAGCTGGATCCAGTTGATCACTTTCAGTTATAATACTTTCAAACCCAAAGTCCTCCGTCATTAATAAATGCTTAATTGTATATGAGGTATGCATTTGCACGACCATGTAGACATTGTAAAAAGCTTGGACCTTAGTATCCCATTTTTAATCACAATGTCGTGAAAATGTTTCCTTTTCCTCCAGGCTTTGTTCGTCTTCATGTCTTTGTCATTTGCGAGGGACGAAATCTTCTGGCTGCTGCGCCACGCCGAGAACATTCCAAAGGCCAAGAACTATGATGACTACGTGGACAAGTGAGGACTCTTGATTGCACAGTTATGAGGTTAATACAGTAGAAGCTGCATATATGCAAACCTCTTGGGAGCAAGGTCGGGTGTTCTTTCATGAGAAGTTGCCTGTTTCCTCCCCCCACCAGTGAACTGTCAGCATGTGTTGCTTATATCACAACTGTGCTTCCATAACATGTGCCTAAATTCAGCTTCTAATGTTTTAGAGACCATTTGATGTAAGTTTATTCATTTGAGTGGCTGGCCTGCGATTATGAGATGCCTTGAGCAACCAAGGTACATCACGTCTACGCAACTGATTTTTGGGTCTTGGGGCATCGCAAGTGTGGGTACTGGCTGAGTTGCTCGTGAGTCGCCGTTTTGCTTTTTGACGTTGGCACGTGGGGGTGCGAGTTCACGGTGTAGTAACGTGACTGGCGCGCTCCACAGGCACCTGGCTGAGCTGATGTTCTACATGGAGGAGCTGCGGGCGCTCGTGCGCAAGTACGGGCCTGTCATGCAGCGCTACTACGTGCAGTACCTCTTCAGCTTCGACGCCGTTGCGCTCAACGAACTCGTGCAGGTGCCCGCTTGCGCCCTCACAATCCCGGGTTTATTTCGCATCGACCCTGGACTAAATCAGCATCCGCTCTAACTCTTTCGAACGGTCACGATTTTGCACACCACATACAGGGTTTAGTCGACTTGAGATGAGCAATGCCTTTGACCAAATCACCTGGAATTCAACTGACTTCGGACATTGAGCAGAGCCTGGATAGTGTTTGAATGGATGGCGACCGTGCGCATATTAGACACATAATAGGCGTCGTGGGTTGTAGAGGGGGAGCAGAAATATCACCCACACCCTACGGCTTTAACCAACCCGCACGGACCATTGTGGTGAAGTATAGTCAAATAGCCATGACGGCCCGCAAGGGAATAAGGAAGTCCTCATCCAATAGGTTGACAAAACGAGCTGTACATGTCGTTGTACAAGATGAGCGATGCACTGTGAAATAAAAAATAAATATGCTGAAATGGTACTCGGCATGTGAGATTCTAAGGGCTGCTTTAGCAGTTCATGAGAATCAATAATTATCACACTTTAACACAACAAAACATCTATCGTCCAAACAAAGTAATGATTAGCAAAGGTAGAAGATGATCGTGATAATTATTTCAGTAAAGTATTTTCAGCCTTTGCTTTCTCACTACAACCAATGCAAGCCCGTTCATTTTAGATCCATATGACAAGTCCAAAGTTTTTCTCTCGCATTATTCCACACAGCCATTCATCAAAAATATTAGCCTTTATTTTTCAATACAAACCAATGTTTATTAATGACGTTGGTGATAAACCATTTCAATTTTAACCAGTGTGTAAACACAAGCCAGTGTTTGTTAATGATGTTAGTGATAAAGTATTTCCATTCCAGTCGGTGAGGAAAATAAGTTGGCAGAATTTGTGTGTGTACAGAGCCTGTGTTACCCTTACGCTGCTGCTGCTTGGCCTGTGCCCTTTCCAGAATCTGTCTGTGTGCCCAGAGGATGAGTCCATCATCATGTCCTCTTTCGTCAACACCATGACCTCTCTGAGCGTCAAGCAGGGTGGGTTGTTTGCTTATGCACCGCGCCACCGATTCACTCTCGCGATTCACCTGTTTGGCTCACCGGAGTTTATGCCGTGGCTGTTTTCTGAGTGGTGGAGAGGGCACTTCCCACGGATGGAAAATGTAACACGATCAGTCAATTAAATTTAGACACAACTCCAGCGCCATTTAAAAATAGCATCAGTTTGTTGTTTCAACAGTCTCTTGACCTATAATTCAGCCTAGCTAACCAGCAACACAGTCTACAATAACAGGTGTAAATTCCTTTTTAAAATAGACCATGTCTATGTACTTTAGTGCAATTCTTTTAGGCCTGACCAACATCAATCATATGTTTGTTAATGGAGAAAGTGATGGCAAGTGTTTGTTGTTGGTTGCAGTTGAGGAAGGTGAGATGTTTGACTTCCGAGGCATGAGACTCGACTGGTTCCGGCTACAGGTAAAGACGCACCTTGAGTCCCCCACAATCACAGGAGAAGTCCCTGAATGAATTTCTCTACTTCCAGCTTGGTTGATCATACTCTCAAGATTGTGTTCCCTAATATTTATCCACATTTGACCAGAAAGTACCCAATCTCTTCTGTTCTCTGAAGCTCGGCTTGGTTGAGCCTGGATAATACTTGGGTGGGTGACCACCATGCACAGCACCACAGCAGGTTGTTATTTGCTGCGGAGCTACGTGGTGGGTAGCACAGCGCAGTGTAAAAATATATAATTGTAATGCCCTATGCTCTTATGTACCTGCTCTGCCTTCACCAACCTGCTCTGACCAGCACGGTGAATTGCCTTCATTTAACCTCCGCAACCCACACGACATGGAGTCCCTCATCCAGAAGTGAATTGACAGAAGAGGTGTACATATGCATTTTGGCCACAATTTCTTATAAAATGGCAATGCTGTTGCACAATGTATTCTTTAGACGTACAGCACAGCCATTACTAATGACAACAATCTTAATACTCTCACACAGATGCCTCGTACAGGATGACTGATTTTCCGTGTGATTGCAATCAAGTGACATCATCTACAGCCTGAAACCTGCCTCGTTCCTACCCTGGCACATTCCTCAATGGCTGACCTTCCAAAACAATACCTCTTCAACAATAGGAAATTTAATTTGAGAAGCTGGCTCTTAAAGTATGCATGTTAAATGCAGAAATGTGTCAAATCAGTCGTGGTATTTGCACAGCATTAAACGTACTGCTTATACCGTTAACAACTCGGTATTATTCTGTCTTTTCAGAGCTATGTGGAAATGTAAAGCTAGTCTTGTCTAATGGCAGTAATCGCAACATACCCTCGATTTGTGAAATGTTGCATCACTGATGTGTGTGGTATAAAAAGCTGCATTTTGAACAAAGGCGTTTGGGTTTATCACTGCAAGCTATACCCCGTCCTATTTAATCTGGCGAAACATGAATTAGCTAGGTGCGTTGCTTTCACTGCAGGCATACACGAGCGTGTCGCGCGCCTCCCTGCACCTCAAGGACCACTGTGACCTCGGCCGCATGATGAACACCATCGTGTTCCACACGCGGATGGTGGACTCGCTCGACGAGATGATGGTGGAGACCTCCGACCTCTCCACCTTCTGGTCTGAGCCTGCCATTGCACACAGCGTTGACACTGGTTACTCTGTGTTTTTCAATTATTTAACGACATGTTTTACTTTGAATAATCCCATGAGTTGGATCATCTCAAATGCAAGGGTGCCGAGGGTGTCAAGTGACACATAACATAATGACACGTATAGAAACATTTCAAAATCTTAAACATGTACGGTGTCAAGTACATTTATAGTAAGTCAAGAACAGGAACAAGACAGCCCAGGAAACGTGCATGAACATTTCACCACAATCATATTCACAAATAAGTGTCGCGCACCACCGGTCAGGCAAAATGTGCAGCAAAGGGAGACTTGCAATCCCAAAGCGGTCCTTCCTGGTTAGGCCACGTCTTGTGCATTTCTTCCCTCAAAGATGGAACATTCGCTACTGCAGGCATCGTCACGAGTTAACCAAATGTTGAGAATGAATGGAAATGTTTTCCTCGCGTGGTTCAGTCATGTTTATTGATGCACAAGATTAATATATCACGTTGGTTATAGAGGTATGGTGAATGCCTGCTTGGATTTTTTTTATATGTGTGGTATTTGAAAAAAGACAACGAGCGTACACCAGTTTTAATCTTGTCGTGAATGTTCTCTTTGCAGTTTCCACAGCCGCCCCTTTGAGAAGATGTTTCAGCAGTGCCTGGAGCTGCCCTCCCAGTCGAGGCACTCCGTCGCCTTTCCACTCATCTGCTCACACTTCATGAGCTGCACCCATGAGCTTTGCCCCGAGGAGGTTGGAAACGCGAACGCATATGTCCACCTGCACGCACGGATGGACCACGCATACACGCCATGGGATGTAGGGATGTTTCTCTGTGTGGTGGTCCTCATAGCATTGCTATGAATGTGTGCTATGTGTTAGCTTATTCAAACAAGCTGCGCTAACTTGGTAGACAGTGGCTGTCTTAGCATATCTGTGTGGTCATGGTCAAATTCTGTAACCTTTCTGACTTAACAGTAATCAACCCCACAGGTAGTCATTCCGGAAACAAATTGTACATTCTTTTCAAACAAGTTTACCCGTCATTGCCATTGAAAAATATTTTATCACACAGCGCTTAATAATTCTGGGTCGGAATGCGCGAGTAAAATTCCAACGTGTGTTGTACACCCTCATTTTACTTGCGTGATCTGATCCAGCAATCGATTGCGAATCATAATATTGTTGGCAAAAGCCTAAGTGTTAAAAGTAACAGCTTATTGAAATTTTGCCAATACATCCAATGTATTCAGTTATTGAGTGTTGTGCAATCTCGCCAGGATTTGGCAAAGACATGCCTACTTTTCACCCAGGCAATGGGAGAGCACAGACTCTAGTATTGCTTAACCTATCACTTAAATAGGGAGGCCTCACCGAGTCTCAAGACTCGGGAAGGTCCTGCCAGATTTTTGCAGTAGGGGGTAATGTTGCTGCTGTGTAATCCAATTGAGTAATTTGCAGGTAATTTATCAGCTTTGGGATGTTTGGCCAATACCAATTAAATTGTATGTTTTTTTTTTTTAGCTATGGGAGGAATCCGGAGAACCCGGAGGATACCCATGCAGAACAGGGGGAGAACAAAAAAAACCCACACAGAAAGGCGCCCGAGTCAGGAATCCAACCCAGGCCCTTCTTGCTGTGAGGCACAAGTGATACCACTGCGCCACCACCCTGCCATCCATGATAAAGTCTTTATAGAGTTCTGAGGGGCTTTTGTCAGTGATGTCCCCCCACCTATTCGACCGGGGCACCCTTCCTTGTGGGTGTCTCGGGATAAATGGTGGGGAGAATAACGCTTATGGCTACGCTTCCCTGCTGGGTGCTATCCTGACCATGAGTGCCCAGCCCTACGCATCTAGCCCACAGGCCCCCCCTCTCGTGTGGTCACCTACAGTGGCATTGTTATTATTTTTACACTTTTATACATGTGAAGTCTCACTGAGTATCAAGACTTGTTAACCTTTTCACAGCCTTGCTTTTTTTTAAACTGTATGTCACCCTGCAGCCAGCCACTTGTTTAATTAATTGCTTTAGGAAATATTTTCAGAATGAATAGGGCATGCCCTTTCTTCCTTGTGCAATATCTTTCAATTTGACTTAAAACTTTCGTGACTGCAGGAATTCATATTTTTTGGTTCTTTCGGTAAAGTCGCGTAGATAGAAAAATAATAATAATAATAATAATAAATAAAGTAATAATAATCAAATACTAATGTAGACTCTAGCCTGGTTATTAAGTTTGGTGAGTGTACTGGTAGTCTATAATGTAGACTGGAGAAAAGGTTATTATACTGTGTCAGTGTCCTGGCAGGCTATAATGTAGACTGTAGCCTAGTTCTTAACCTCGGTGAGTGTACTGGCAGTCTATAATGTAGACTGTAGCCTGGTTCTTAACCTCGGTGAGTGTACTGGTAGTCTATAATGTACACTGGAGCAAAGGTTATTATGCTGTGTCAGTGTCCTGGCAGTCTATAATGTAGACTGTAGCCTGGTTCTTAACCTCGGTGAGTGTACTGGCAGTATATAATGTAGACTTATTATTGGTTCTTTCAGTAATTGAAATAAAATAAAAACAAAAATCACGATGTTTCGATCGCAACACAAGCGGTCGTCATCAGGAAAAGGGGGGTGGCCTCTAAAGGCAAATTGTGAAAGGTTTAGAGATGGGCGTAGCTCAAGTGTCAGCAGCATGGGCAGGGCAGCTAATGTTAATGTAGGAGAAGACAAGCAACTACACCAAGCAAAGCGCCGCCATGCAATCATTGCACCTCGCTCCACACACCCACACTGCTGACGGTGGAGGTTGACAAGAAAACACAAATCAAGTCATGACCCAAAGTGGTTGATGACATCTTTCCAATGATTGCTGAGTTTATAACCATCCTCTCAGTTGAAATTATCTGTGTCTGTATATATGGATGGCTTCATGAACAAATCTTTGTTGATAGCCAGTGGGCTTGCAAAGTCCCATCGTCTTAGAGAAATAAATTTGGTGTGAGCCAGCCGTATTAAAATAATGATCAGCCACGGCAGAAGTATTGGTCCTACCGTGTTTCAGATCTGCCTTATGCTCACGAACACGGTCCGAGACATGTCGCTTAGTTTCCCCAATGTGGCTGCTGTCGCAGATACAGCTTAGTTTGTAGATGCCGGGATATTGCATGTCAGGAATCTTGTCCTTCACAGATAGGATCAGATCACAAATTTTACGTATTTTGATATTTTTAATACCAAAAGAACCAATAATAAGTCTACATTATAGACTGCCAGTATGCTCATCGAGGTTAAGAACCAGGCTACAGTCTAGATTAGTGTTTTTTTTGTATTCACTTCATTTTTTTTCTATCTACGTGACTTGACCGAAAGAACCATGAAATGGCAGCAGCAAACGCCATGTGTGTAGCCCACAAGCAAACCTGACATTCAGTCATGAGAAATATCGGGAGCGGCCACAGTGGAGGGAATTGCCAGCTCACAAAAATAGACGGGACTAGCTGTGCAAAGGTTAAGTCTTGCCATCCTTAATGTGGGACGCTCTTGGCCATGATCATCAATTATTGGCTTATGTTTAGATTATTTTGAGAACTCCCTGAACACTTTGCTGGCAACTCGTGTAATACATTGCGACTGATTGCGTCTGCTGCAATGCAGGTGTAATGGGGAGAGTGGTTGTAAAATCCTTAACGATATATAGGATGGGAGTCTGCATTGTCCAGATTAGGAAGGCCCATTGGCTTCATTGAGCATTGCACAACGGACACAACCTGAGCCATCACTTCTATGTAGTGGAGTAAATTAATGAATACATTTAGAATCAGGTCAAAGGCCCCTAATAAGTAATAAGTCTTTTCCAGTGGAAATGCTGACTGCATTTTACGGGAGCAATGCAAATACCTTTATTTTAATATCATGCAAACTGGGCACTTAAAAATCACACGGGGAATATTTGACACAGTGGTATCTGTAAATGCCGAGAGATACCCACCACTCGATAATAACTGTTTGAGTGTGTCAGCTAAAATTCACAACAGTTTAAACGCATGCAAATTTCCTGGCATTGCGAATGGCATTGGTAATTGCTGATATTTACTTTGACAGCGTCATCACATTGGTGACCGCAGCCTCTCGCTTTGCAACTTCTTCCTGGATGAGATGGCCAAGCAAGCACGCAACCTCATCACGGATATCTGCTCCGAGCAGTGTGCCCTCAGTGACCAGGTACGTGCTGTATACCAATGGCCTTTCATTCTAGGCAAGTTTACTGGCAGAGCTAAGAATGCTCCTGCCTGTTTTCAATCCTAAATAGGAACATGAGTCTCACAGGAAGTGTGGTCAAGTGTATAAAATGGGAACTTTGTGGTACACCGTTTAGAATTCTCTTGGTTTGTGCCTGTGCAACAGCCTCGTAGTTATCGCACTGCAGCTGGGTGCGGTCCAGGCCACACCTCCCCCTCTTGTGTGCCTAGCCGGCCTTCATAGTTGCTCGCAAACAGCACTTGCCCCACCAGTCAATAAGGCTGCACAGGGATTTTGGTCTTTATCTTACCTTTTGTGTGTGTGCGCACACTTGTGTGTTTTGTGTGGGCGGCATCTTATAATCAGCTGCTGCCCAAGCACTGTGCCAAGACTATCAGCCAGGCGGTGAGCAAGAAATCCAAAAAGCAGGCGCAGAAGAAAGGGGAAACGGAGAAAGAAAAACCCGGAGTGGAGAGCATGCGCAAGGATCGTCTTATCAGCACCAAGTGAGCGCTGCGTTGCCTGCATTGTGGTCGATCCAATCGCCAAAAACCCCTCTTAAACGTGACCAATGCACTGTTTCCTTTCATCGGCGATTTAAGAAATAATTTATGCTTAAGAGGTAGTTTTGAGACCCCGGGTTTGAATCAAGCCAGCTATCTGTGATTAAGACCAAGTCCTCTATTGTTGCTATTTGATGATCCCAGGCCAGTAACCAATGACTGCAATAAATCAATCGCGTAAAATTATCGGTTTGGCTGACGTGCGATGAACATTAACCACTGTAGCTGGGCACATGGGAATGTGCGGCCTCTTTTATGTGGTTCAGAGGTCAAACGAAAGAGATCTCGGGAGTACAGCGATACCTTGACTTTCGTCACTTCGTTCTTTCGGCCATTTTCAATTATTACCACATTTCAAATCTCGTCCACGTACTTTTGTCTTTCGTCCGATTTCATCCCAAACCTTCCACGGCGTTCGCGCCACGCACCATCTTTTTCGTTCAGTCTTTGAATAGAAGTCGTTCAGTGAGCATCTCTTATATTTGTATTTATTCATATACAACCATTTACGGCCTTCGGCCAGGAAAGTCACAAAAAAATTGCACACGAACGACGCATTCACGCAAGCACCTGATGCTCCGTTTTGAAGTTTTAAAATTGAACCTCTTTGAATTGAATTATGTTTTGAATAAGATAAGTTTATTTCTTCATTGAAATCTTATATCATTTTACATCTGGAAGACTTCATTGAAAAGGATACTTCACGTGAATTTTCTCTGGTCGTTAAGTAGATGGCCTTGCTGGGTGTTCGGTTCGATGCGGACTTTCACCTGTTTGGGATTGCGGGATCGAGATAAGGCGACATAGTGTTGGCCGTGCGAGAAGACCGCCGTCTGCAGAACGATTCCAACGTAATCGAACGTCTGTCCCTGCGCCTCCGTCGTTCATGCAGAGGGCGCATAGGTTTGCAGCGCCCCCTGCATGAAAACGACGGAAAGTGCAGCGTTCTTCACAGAGAAAGTTGTGCGCTTATATAAGAGTATTAATAATACTTTGCTTCTTTCTGTGATTATCCTGTAAACAATTAATAGTTATTTTTGTGATAACAGTATAATACTACAGTGTTCATAGTTATTTTCGTGATTATAAAACACGTGTACAGTATTCATACTGTGCTTATTTTTGTGATTACTGTAAAATACTTTTTTTTGTGCCTTAATATATTCATAATGGGTCCTAAAGTGTGGTGATAGTAAAGCTAAAATAACTCATAAGGTTCTCAATTTGCAAGAAAAGCTTGACAGAATCAAACTTAACGAGCAAGGCTAAATAAAGGCTCTGCTTTGACATTCGTCTGTGCTCTGGTCCCTTACCAGACGAAAGTGCGAGGTATTCCTGTAGTTCTATGATGTCCACCTCTGTGGTTCGTTTCCCTAACATGCAAGGTTACACTGCCATTTGAGAGAAGAAATCAAATATATGATTTGTATTGTGATATGAAACTGACTGCATCAATCAGGATAACATTTGGGGGAAAATGTTAGTAAAGAAATATTCAGTGCCAATATTGGAGGCAAGTTTTTAATGTGGGTTTCAACGCGCACGGGCTTCTGTCTGGCTGCCTTGCTGTGTGAAGTCTGGACAAGCTGCACACGGCACTGGTGGAGCTCTGTTTCGCCATCAACTACGCCCCGTCCATCGTGGTGTGGGACCACACCTTCACACCGCGCGAGTATCTCGCCCTGCACCTGGAGTACCGCTTTACAAAGTACGCACAAGTTCACAGATGCATGTGCGAACGGATTACACGCACACACACAGATTGACGTGTTCCCCTTGATTGAGTCGTGGTAGTTTGGTGGTAAAGTGCTCCCAAAGACGTAGTCTCATTTAGCAAAGAGACTGCTTCAATACAAGTTTTAACATTAAAATATGACCCGTCACATACATCACAATGTGTGTTTAAAGATGGGATGTGAAATTGGATAGCTCTGTGGGAAGCAGAAGTTTTATATGAATTAATACATTTGTTAGCTCCCTTTGATACGACGGACGTACTTGTGAGGACTAATGGTTTAGTACGCTCAGTCAGGCCATTATAGTGTTCCTCCTTTTGTGGTATGGGCCATTGTTGGCTAAACAGATATTCCTGCATTTAGTGTTTTTCAGTACAAGATACAGTGTATACCCGTGACTGCTATCGCACTTTCACGCTCGCAAACACGATGGGTGAGTGTCTGGTTTTGTTGTGGCACGCAGGGCCATCGTGGGCATGACGATGTACAACCAGGCGACGCAAGAGATCGCCAAGCCCTCGGAGCTGCTCACCAGCGTCAAGGCCTACATGTCGGTGCTGCAGTCCATCGAGAACTTTGTTCAGATCGACATCACGCGCGTGTTCAACAACGTGCTGCTGCAGCAGACGCAGCACATGGACAGCCACGGTGACACCACCATCACCACGCTGTACACCAACTGGTGAGGACCACATCTCGCTGACATCTCACCGAGGTCTCACTGGTGTTTGGCTACAGCGTCTGTGATGAGAAGTTTAGCCATCAGTTGTTCATCATTGAACCACTTGAGTGAACGTCAAAACTGAAAATCGAACAAATGGAAAAAATTGGTTCTGGTGTGAAACACTGACTGGAGGTGGAGTTTAGGTGTAATGTTTGGGTTCACAAAGATGGCCAGTCCTAGTATCCCATTGGCTAGTCTATTTGGGCTGGAGTTAGGGCCAGCATTTGCTTGGTTAGTACACTTAATCTGCAAACGTTTTGCCCCCTCCATCCTATTGCAACATACGGCTGGTTTCGGTTTTTGGCAGCATTTTAGTTTCCAGTTTGTAAAGTGCCATGCTGTGCAGCTGGCCGTGGGATGTTGATCTGTGTGTGTACGACGCTGACCCCACCGTCCTTGTGGTAGGTACTTGGAGACCCTGCTAAGGCAGGTGAGCAATGGCTTCATCGCGTACTCCCCGGCCATGAAGGCGTTCATCAACCTGCCCACGGAGAACGAGCTCACGTTCAACGCGGAGGAGTACTCGGACATAACCGGTGCGCTCCCACTGCGGGTATCAGTGAAATTTTTTTTATCGTGGAAGCAGTCTTCACAATTAAATATACTGCTGAGGGTGGAGTGGTGGTGCCATGGTTAGTGCGTTGCACCACAAACCCACTAATTCAGATATTACCACAGCTAACATCGGTGGTGATTAATGGTTCATACCAAAGCTCCCTGACAAATGGGCCGTTCCAAAAAGGTTTTGTTGCATCGAGCACATGAGATAGGGCGAATCCATACAAGTTCTGAACACGATGTCTGTCTGTGCATCGACTCTCGCTGCAGAGATGCGAGCGCTGGCCGAGCTGTTGGGACCGTACGGAATGAAGTTCCTCAACGAGAGCCTCATGTGGCACATCTCCTCCCAGGTGGCCGAGTTGAAGGTGGGTGCGACTCGTTCATGCCACAGTCGCTGCACGACGATACTAGAAGTTACAAGTGTACTCTTCAAAAGGAAGGCCTGCATTCATGTTCCACGTGATGTTGCTACTCGTAATGCTTTTGTATTCATCACGATGGGTTTGACTTTAATGTTAAGACTGTCCTGAAACTGGATAAATATATTTCCAGACACAACAACAATAACAATAGCCGCCATTCTCCACAAGGTAACAGTGATGTTGCCACAGTACTTGTGCCAAGCTTAGGTGCACTTTGTAGCCGCATGAAGTGTCGGATACTCCCTAGCAGGAGGTCATGGGAAAGATGCAAGTGTTTGTCAGAGGTTAATTGACTGGCAGATACAACACCTGTTCTCCAAGTGCCGAACAAACACACACTCGCACGCACGAAGCATGCAATAAAGGCGAAACCACTCGTGTAACAATCTCCCTACCTGCAGAAACTGGTGATGGAGAACATGGAAGTTCTGATGCACATGAGGACGAGCTTTGACAAGCCCGAACACATGGCAGCACTTTTCAAGAAGCTCCAGTGTACGTGTCAGCCGTGTGCCTTTTGCAAACCTTTAACCAAACCCACACCGGTGAATTTGCATACCCCCCCGGGCTGTACCGTTCGGTACAGGATGAGCTAAAGTTCCTGTGTCGGTGTGGCCTGTGCTGCAGCTGTCGACAGTGTGCTCAAGCGGATGACCATCATCGGCGTGATCCTGTCCTTCCGATCCCTGGCACAGGAGGCGCTGCGTGATGTGAGTCATTGCACGCATCGCACCAAGATTGTCACTTTGATCGCTCGGGGTCTGAGCCAGGCAGTAGAGTCCAACCCATTTCATCTTCTCACCTTCACGTGTGAGATGTGACCATCACATTGAATCGTGTTAACTAACAGTTTTGTCATTTTTGCACTCGACATTAAATCGTGTATATATATGAAAATGTGAGTTTTTAGAAGTACTGGATTAACAGCTCAGGAACATTTAATATGCAACCAGAATTATTTTATTAAAGCCCACCCAGAATTTGCAAAGTAGCGACCTTAAACGTAATTTAATTGGTCTAATTATTCTGTCTGATGAAAAAAATTGCTATTTGGCACATCCTACTGTGGTGTAATGCCACCAATGTTGTTTGTTTATTTGTTTAAATACAGTGCTTGCTGTGCAATAAAACACAACAATGTGTGTGCATGTCTTCTCTAGGTGTTATCCCATCACATTCCGTTCTTACTCAGCTCCATTAAGGACTTTAAGGACCACATACCTCGTGAGACGGATATCAAGGTAATGTGCACTCCTGAGATCTTTGACTATGCGATAACACTCGCGTAGCAGAGTGATATTGAGACAAAGTGCTTATTTCTCTTATCTTTCGACGATACATTTTTCTTCAATATGGACATATTGGTTCTGAGAAGTTCAACAAATTTTAGCCGATTTTGAAAAATATAAGAATTAGTTGAAGTAAATATAATCTTTAAAGCCTCTACATTTGCCAAAGGCCCCCCCACCCTATCTTGTTTTTAATATAGAAGAGCATTCTCAGAATTGCTACAATGTTGTGGAAGTGACTAAAACACTGAGATCTTAACCTAGCGTGCACGTACCCCCTGGGGGTGCGAGATGCCCTTTCTGGGCGTGCGAGACATGGCAGATTTTTTTTTTATAAATCATCAAAACACATTATGTATGGGCATGTAAGTGAAACTACTTTGTTTGATCAAACCTATGTATTTATTTACATATATTTTTTAGCGATTGAGAACCAAAGGGGCGGTGCAAGGCTGCAGTACAGGTTAATAACCACTGACCTTGATCATCATAAGTACTCTTCCTAGATGTGTGAAATCATTATACACGACGTACCAGATGACAGTGATGATGCTGCATATGGTGCAGGTGGCGATGGGGGTGTACGAGCTGTCGTCTGCCGCGGGGCTGCCGTGCGAGATCGACCCGGCCCTCGTCCTCGCGCTCACCTCACAGAAAGGGGGTAAGATGAGCGGTCTTCTTTCGTACGGCTGATGTAGATGCAGAGCAACACCTACGATTTCACATCCAGATAGGTCAAGCCAGATAACCGCGTCAGGAGCAGCAGAGTGAATCGCCGTAATGTCTCCTCCATATGTATAGATGGGGCAATGCGCTGTTCTGGTCTCTGTTCTGGATAACCACAGTCGCACACTGGAGAGTTTTTAATTTCCCATTCGTGCATCGGGTATCCGCATCTATTGTCATGGTTTGTGCAAATGCGGTTTAGGGTGGACCATGAGCTGTGACCAAAGCTGACAACGACGAATTGGGGACATTTATGGAGACATTCCTGGAGAATAACTCCCAAGTGGCTGCCGCAGTTACTTCTGAGACATGAAATGGTGCATTGCGAATGTTTTACAAGGGAGATCGCATATGGTCACCAAATGACAAACGCATCGTGACAATGTGCGATTGCAAAGCCTGGTTAAATGTGCATCGTCATATAAATAGTGACGGGTGAACAGTAGCGAACATTGTTTGCTTAACATCTGACGTGTACTCCACACATTGCACCTCCCTGCAGAAAACCTGTCTCCAGAGGAAGAGTACAAGATTGCCTGCCTTCTCATGGTTTTTGTGGCTGTGGCCATTCCGACCCTGGCCAGCAACCCACTCTCCCAGTACAGCCCACTTCTGGAAGGCAAGTTCCCCCCTCCTCACTGTATTTGTCCGACTTCTTGTCACTATTCTCGCATATCGCTCTCCTGCCGTTTGATTGACCGCAAAATGTGCCTTACGCCACAGCGAGCACCTTGAGCAACCGGTGAATGCTCATTGCAGGTCACGTGAACAACATCCACTGCCTGGCCAAAGCCGTGAACCAGATTGCAGCGGCGCTGTTCACCATCCACAAGGGCAGCATCGAGGATCGACTCAAGGAGTTCTTGGCGGTGCGTTTCCCCCCCTTGGCTCCCGGTTTCTCCTGGCAAGGCTTTAAATAACCACCCAAACTGGCCCCTACACACATCTAGTGGAGAAGTCCTTCAAGGGACATTGTGTGAGATTATGTATGCAGTGTTTAATATTTGTTTCTTTTATTATAATTATATTTTCTATGAGAGTTCAAATTCTTCTAAAACAAAAAATATTCATTATCTTAAAAGATTGGCTGCTCTGATTTTATTTCCCCATTTGCTTCTTCGCTACACCTCATCCCTTGTCATGTACACTGTCCTCATATCTCTCTCGCTCCACAAAATATTTCCATCTTACCCTCGGCCTCCCTCTTCTCTGCCATGTACCGTCATCAGGTTTAAAATAGTTGTTCTTACATTTATTTCACAGTATTTGTTAAATATTTATAGAAGAACCCAGTACATAATGTAGGACACAACATTATTTAAAGAAAAGTCATTTCACAGTTGGAATAGAATATATTTACACTGCAGATGCTCAATTATTTGCTCATTTTATTGTGTCTTTGTTCTCATTGTCTCTGATCTCAGCTGGCCTCCTCCAGTCTGCTGAAGATTGGACAAGAGACGGACAAAGTGTCGACCAGAAACCGTGAATCTGTCTACCTCCTGCTAGATATGGTGAGGATGGATGTGGTGCTAATATGGTGCAAAACGGCAGCTAATTATAGGGCTGCTTATCGATAACACATTGTGGATCCTCTGAACCATCGCAATATCACACTCACTCAGGTCTGTGCCGTAGTAATTTTTATATAGCAGTGGTGTGGTTGCTCACTGCGTGGTTATCAGCCACAGAGTTATGGCCTCCAAAAGTTACTTTTTATTTAGAACAATGAGTCATGGGGCTAAAATGGTGCAGGGTAATAACAATAAATCTTAGACCACTTTTACTTCAAGAACAATGCATTCAATGTAAAAAGACATGATGCTAGATCTGCCGCATTACGTTGCAGTTACTCTTCACTAGCAGTGCTGTCATGCGTGTAGTCGGGCCGGAGCCGCCACCTATTCACATTGGTGTGTGTGCGCAAATGTCGGTGTGTCGTACAGATAGTCCAGGAGTCCCCGTTCCTGACGATGGACCTGCTGGAATCGTGCTTTCCCTACGTCCTGCTGCGTAACGCCTACCACGCCGTCTACAAGCAGGGGCTGAGCGCCGCCTCCTAGAGCGCTCCCCACACCCAACGTTGCCCGTTGACGTCTTTCTATCACGTTCGTCTGTTCCGCCCACTTTTGTGTCAAGTGAGTGTGGTGTTATTCTGTCTGTCGTGGCGTCCTCGTTGAAGAGAGTTACTTTGCACAATGAAATCTTTTGACATGTGCCTCGGTGTGCGTTGCCTCGGCTCTACAGGCAGGCTGTCCCATGTGCCCTGCACGAGGGTGTTCGTCTGAACGATTGCGTAATTCGTGGGCAATCACCTGGTGGTTGTGCTGGCAGGCATTCGCATGGGGGCAGTGTTTACCTCTTGATTTTTAGAAAGTTTAATCTTGTATAAGAGGTGGTGCCAAAAATCCCACGTCTTTTGTAAATTAGCAGATCCCCTTCACATTAGTCACGGCAGTGTAAATCCCTTCAAAGATTGAGTTCTCAGGGCAAAGTAAACTATGACGTCAGACTTAGTTGCTGCACGATTTAATGTTGTTGTAAATGATAAATATATCTTCCCAGAAAAATGGAAGGACAATGAAGTAGGTCAACAGTTACGCACGGCAGAAGTTGATTTCTGAAAATCTGTTAATTGGAATGAGTAGAAGCCAAACATGGCTTCTGTGTGTCTCAAATGCTTCCTTCTGTTTGAGATGAGAAAATTCAAAGCATCTGGTTATCCCATTACTCCCGACTAGAGAGTAGCAGGAAATCAAGAGCTCAGAGTCGATCCAAGGTTACTGCGGTGACCATATGCTAACACTTGTTGGAGAGCCAACCACATGGCTTGCAACTTTACATGTGGTAATAAAATATACCAGAAACATGACAAAATAGAATGTTCCTATTGAAAACGACGCTGTAGAGATTTCTTATGGTGTGCACCGACAAAAATGCACACAGACATGTGCTTGACATGCAGAGCAGCTCAGAGTTGGTTTGGGATTGCTTGCCATTGCTAGGTCAGTGGTAGCACACGTTCTGTGCTTGGCACAAAGGTTTCTTGCATGGGTTCGAGGCAGGCACCTGTCTTCATGCAAATGCTCCTCAACCCCCTGTGGGTTTCGTGTATCGGTGAAGCTCTGAAACTGAAAGCTGCCGTTGCATTGTGGGTCCTGTATTGTGCCGACCTAGTAAGTCTGAGGAATGGGTTGATGGCAGTTAATTTGCACGTGTGGAAAAACATTCAAAAATTTGTATTTAAAGGTTTTAGTGTTTCCAAAAATGTAAACTGTTAATGTAACCTCTTAACATTATTTTACTTTTTTTAACTGCATTTGAAACATGCATTACAAACTGCACTGATTAATGCTTATATTTTCTGGTTCAAATTTTGCGTTTTCAGATTGTGCCATTCATTTTTGGCATTTTGTGGACGAATATTCCGTCGGATACATGCAATGGTGTGGTCACTGAAGCGTTTTGGCTTATGCCCTGCATGACTAGTCCTGTTTTACTTTTGCTGGTGCGAAAACATGCACCCTCCTAAATTGGGCATCCTCCATCACAATAAAAGGGCAAAAAGCTTGCGATGTTCACTGTGCAGAGCTGTTTTGAGCAGCTCTTTCAGATCCTGTCCTGAGCAAGGAGTCGTGCCCAGGCAGTCAACACCACCACAGGTGGTGGTGCAGATCAGAGAAGTACGGACGGAGGTTGTGGCACTGTGTGCCTCTGTGGTTATTCTTCATAGCTGGCAATAGGCACTCACTCTTCTGTCACCAAATGCTTTGTTTTCTCCATGCCATGTGTAGTAGTAAATGACTCTCATACTTGCTCTTGTTTACATATTGTAACATAAACATGAATTCAGACATTCGGGTTATCTTTTAGATGTTTTTTTTTTATTATATTAGCAGACTTTTTTGTTAAGTTGCCTGGTGGAAGTGAAGATGCACATCACTGATTATTATTATTTGCTCTTTACTCATCACTGGTCTAGATTTGTGTATATATATTCAGTGTTAACTTGCAATTTTCATAATTTTGAATATTCAGCAAACAATAAGAAAGCATTTACACCACTTATTAATCATTTAGATTTCGGGTTGTTTGTTACGATTATAGGCATTAATTTACACGTCGTATTATAATATCTGAAAATTTGTACAAAATGAAAAATGTGTCATTTTACTTTGTTCATAAATATTCTTTTCGTTAAGATAGTATGGACAAAAATGCATGTCCGAAGTGTGGCAGTGGGGCGAGTCAGACGGAACAGCAGAGGTCTTCACTCTCCCTCCATCTCTTGTAGAGCCAGTCACCTCTATTGACCCACTCTTCCTCGACAGGAGTCTCATGATATTTCACCTAACTGTGCAAAGTGAGCAGTTGTCTTCATTTTTTTGAAAAATTTAAACACAAAACATTCTGCCCAGTGTATTTCACAACCTCAAGTTATATTCTCTAGGTTAACATGGGTATGATGCACACCCAAGCCACACATTACCACAAAAACATGCATTTGTTATCACTTTGCAGATTATTAAACTGGAATACAAATATACATTTTCAAACTGAAGTGTGTAACAATACGCGGTGCAATGTGAAACGGTTGTTCATGGTGACTGTAGTGTGGCTGAGGCCAAATTAATCTTGAGTTTTTTGAAAAATTATTTCCTGAAAGTGATCTGGCAGATTTTGATATTCATTACTGGTCAATGTGTTTCCATTTTTAAAGTTTGTTTCAAATGTCCCTGCGGGAATATGAAACGATTGACTTAACTGCGTTTAAGTGTGTCGTGTTGCCGGAGGGTTATGGGTCAGATGGGTTTTTTTAGACGGTGATGAAAACTGAGTTTGAGTTTTTTTTATGGTTTGCAATTTACTGTATGTGATGTCAGTCTTGTTTTGGTTTCATTATCTTTGTTATAGTTTTCAAGACTTTGCCATTTCCACTGTAAGCTAAGCAACTTAGAACACAAGCATCGAGCAAGCTGGTTATATATATACGGTATGTGCGCGTCTGTTATATCTGCACGACTCTGACAAGGTGCGTGTCCAAACAAGCGTCTTAACACAAATGGTTTAAATGGTGGCACGAATGGCCTGGGTTGACAATGCTCTTATACGTGTTTGTTTTATGAATGAGATTTTGCATAATTTGACAATTAAAAAATTGAATATTAATATTTACAGCTGTATAAACATTGCATCTGAAACGTAAAAAATGTTCCGTGTAGAGTGACCAAACTTGGAACGATATTTTTAACGAGTTAAACTTTCCAAGGCTTGTGCTGTATGCTTATCGAGTTTATCCTCTTTCTAGTGTGCAGGTTGCTACTGTATATCGTTGCGGCGGTAATTGTCGTGAACTGCATTAGCACACGAGCGAAACGCTTGGCCCCCGCTTCCTCTGTAGTCGAGAGAAGCGGCACGATGCAGTGGCGTGCACGCTACTCTACTGCAGCCGAGGGTGCTTCGAACTGCATGGGGTCTCCATCGACAATAAATGAAGGTTTGAAGACTCCTTGGTGATTGTCTCTGTTTGCTGCTCACCCCTGCGTCGGTGTGAAGGACTGAAAGTGGGAGTGTTTGTGCCAGTTCCCTGCGCATCGTAGCCCCTGCTTCAGGTCCGTTCACGAGTGTGTGTTTGTCTGGACTGCAACAATGGGTGCTCTGATTCTACCATCATCAAGAAGCAGGTTCTGCGGATCCAGAAATACCCCAGGAATGAGCGTCGGTGTCTTGAGTCGTTATGAGTCATGAAGCTCCATGAGCTTCACCCCTCCCATTCCATCCTCCCAGCCCATAGGCAACAGGTAAATGTTTTATTTACCTAGATGGTGCAAGGATTCCACTAGCAGAGCACGTCGACTCACGCGACCACCGGCATCACTACCACGTGCTCTGCTCGTGGTGACCTTGCGCTTTCTCGCCGAGTCCGGCTCACGGTTTTTTTGTCGAGGCTGCGTTTGAAAGGAAGCCCGTGAAAAGATTCTAGGGGGGCAATCCTCTTTGTTGAATCAAGCCACACGCCGCCTATGCTGCTGCTCCTCTTGACCCTCAACCAGGGGTTAGGGGTCAATCAGTGATGCATCAGGCATCTCGCGCAGACGCACTTTGGTGATGGCAACTCTTATTTACATGCTATAACTTGTGCACAAATTAGGTTTTTTATTTCTTACAAGTCACATGTTTATGCTTTGCCTGACTACACCCTGACTTTGCTGGACACGTGAAAATAGTGACTTGTGTGCATCAACATTTACTATTTAACATATGTGGTAACAAATAAAGTACATGGTTTATTGTTCTGTGATGTCTTTCCTAGATGGACATGCTTTGCTGCTGTGGTACAACATGTGACAATTTATGCAACGCAGTACTCCATTTCAAATTTATTTTTGTTTCAGAGAACATATTAAGGAATTCATTTTTTTATATTTTAATACCAATTAACCTGTATTTTTATCACCAGGTTATGTAACCAATTTATTTTTAATGACTACAACTTAATGAATTAAATTGTAGTGACTTGAGGATGACCATAACATTAATAGTATGTCCTTGCTATGTGACAAACTAACAACTTTAGATGACAAACAGTTGGTACTAAAATTATGGAACGGTTTAAGCACAACAGTTGCTTGGAGAACCGAGTTATGTGCTCGTATTTTCCCTTTCATCTTAGGCCTATGTGTATTCGACCACACTGACAGATACGTGTGAATGTCATAACATCTTTAAACTAGAGCAGTCTGGGGGAGAAAACATTGTTCAGTTGGACAGATATCTTAAGTACATTTACATATGGGTGATTCAATGTATTCCACTTAAGTGTGATGGTGTCCATGGGTGAATGAGAGTGGTGAGCGTCAGTCGGTGGTTCCGCGGGTTCTTGGCTGTTCACGGTGGAGGAGCGGCGTGGCGTTGACGGCCAAGTTAGGGTGAAATGGGGTAAGCCGACGCCACGTATTTCTTGCCGTTGTCGTAGCTGGAATTGGTCCAGGTGTAAGTCTGGATGCCAATGATGTTGCCGTCCAGCTTGATTTTACACCTGGTGACAAAGTGTGCACATCGGTTACGCTGAATGCAGACTGCTGCGTCGGTTTTCACGGTTCTGCTGGACAACCCTCCAGAGTGCTTTTGGGCTGCACTGCGAGTTGTTGGGCAACAAAGTCCGACGTTTCAACTCAACATGCTGGGAGCCACTCCAGAAGCTTAAATGTCGGAGATCACGCTGAACAACACGCGGCACGACCCGAAAACACATTGGAGAATGCAGGTTAATCGGTTTGACAAATTGGTAACGGGACATGATAATAAGCGATGCTGGGTCGGTGACAGCGAGCACTCACGCTCCGTCGGGCTTGGAGATGAAGCACAGCGAGTACATCGCCAGATCGAACTCCGGGCTGCTGCCAATGAAAGCCGAGCCGACTTCCTTGAAGTAGCCGTCCCAGTTGAACTGCATGGCCAGCACGTCGGGGTAGCCGGTCCACTGTGAAGAGAGCGCGCACAGGTCCTGCCCTCGTCCGCCGTTGGAGGTATTTATAGAATTATTGTTAAAAGAGCCCGCTTAGCTTTAATTCCTCCTTTACATTGGTCATCGCATTAAATCTTGCTGCATTATATTAGAAAGCCCACGAGGGTTATAGAAGTATGAAGGCAGAGCCTTTTAACCCCTGGTGCATTTATACATTTTGCAGTTTAAATGTAACGTGATCTCTTGATTCCTCAACTGGAAGTAAATAGTTCAAATACGTACAAAACACATGCAGAAATATGTAATGTGCATGAATTGCAAAGAATTGATTCTCAGTAGTAGTTTTCTGAATGTATCTGGATTTATAAAAAAAAAAACTTAATCGATGAACCAGTGCATCTGGCAGTGTGCGTGCGTTACCGGCCCATCCCAGTTGTGGCTAAAGTAGTTGAGTTTCCCTTCTTTCTCCAGGAGGTAAAACGAAACCCAGTTGTGGAATCCAGACACCTTGCCTCCTTTAATCTCCCCTGTGGGCACAAGAGACGCGTCGCCAGGTTTAGAACAGCAGGGAGGAGGGGGGCTGCATCACGCTGTTGAGCCATCGCGCTCGCACGGTTGTCGGCATTCAAGGTCGCGTTCGTTGGCCTCGAGTAAAGTGGAATTTGCACGTGGATCGATTGCTTCCCTCGTTTCCCGCCCAACGATAGATAACCACAGGTGGTGGCAGCAGCTGTTTTTCCCCTTTGTAATGCTGTAAATAAAAAGAGACATCGGGCAGACGCCGCCTTGAGCAAAGATTGCTTACCTCTGGGTGTTTTTGTTACAGGGGAACGTTATTTAAAAAAACGGTAATGATAAGGGCCGATCGACTGTTGTGATGCCCCGTGAGGACTATGATAATAAAATCTAATAATTACTCGATGAAGAACCTTAACATTAAACGAGACCCAACCAGCACCTTGGAACGTAAAACGGAAATCATTGCCAAGTCATCAATTCCCAAGGAAGAGCAATACCTGATGAAAACAAGGGCATCAAAACCACCAAGTCTTTATGGGCTACCAAAAATTCACAAGCCTGATGTCCTATTCAGACCCAGAGTACAATAGGCTCTGCTGCGTACAAATTATCACAATACGTAACGAAACAAATACAGCCCTACATCGATAGGACCTCTTCGTTCATCAAAAAATCTGAACATCTCTTATATATAATTAAAGATATTAAGCTTAACCTTGATATTCTAGAAAGTTTTGATGTGACCTCTGATCGCGAGGGTTCTGGTCAACAAGTCAATTAAATTACTCGACACTCTGGTAACGAACAAAGGTTTAGCCAAAGATATCCAAAGACGAGCCGAACACTGTCTAAATAACTTACTTATTGTGGCAAGGTGACTTGTATAAACCAAAGGAAGGAGCAGAAATGGGCTCTCCTTTGTCTCCTGCGATAGCGAATTTGTACGTCGAAGATTTTGAAACAAAAGCAAAAGCTTCAAGCACACAAACCATCTGCTTGGTTTAGATATGTGGATGACACATTGGTGGTCTGTCCACACGGCAAAGATACATCTCAACTCGCAAAACGATGCGAGTTGAGATGTATCCATCCAGTTCACCATGGAAGCTGACAGAAGTCTACCATTTCTGGATATTCTGCTCGGACGAGGTAGAAATGGTAAAATAGCACGCAGCGTTTACCGAAAAAAAACGCATACTGACGCCTATCTGAATGCAGTCACACCATCACCCCGCACAAATCTGTTCTTATCAAGACGCTCATTGATCGAGCTAAGAAAGTGTCAGATGGTGACAGTCTGAGAAGTGAAATTCAACATGATAATTGGTTCTTTACCCTTCTATCTGGCAACAAAACTGACACCTTTTTGCAAGGAGTCATGTTTGCATAGACCGCAATACCTGCAGTCATAAATACAAACAAAAGACATAACTCTGATAATGTGCACTGTCCCTGAAGTTGATTGGTCCAGTGCACATTATCAGAGTTATGTCTTTTGTTTGTATTTATGACTGCAGGTATTGCGGTCTATGCAAACATGACTCCTTGCAAAAAGGTGTCAGTTTTGTTGCCAGATAGAAGGGTAAAGAACCAATTATCATATTTTTACTGGCAAATGAGGTCCCCATAGTGAAATTCAACATGTTAAAAAAAGCGCTGCAAATGAACGGTTACAATGATGCACAAATCAACAGGGCATAGAATACCAAAATCAAATCAAATAACAAGAGCATTGAAACTGGCCAAGTCATGTAAATGATCAAAATATCGTACATTGCGGGAGTAACTGATAAACTAGCCAGATGTTTGGAAAACAAAACATCCGAATCAGATTTGGCACGGTACATAAAATACAGAAATTTACATCTGGTACAAAGATGTATTACCGAAGCTATCAACAGAAGGTGTGTACATGATGAACTGCACGTGTGGTAAATGTTACGTTGGGCAAACAGGACGAATGATCAGCACGAGCCTAAAAGAACATCAGAAAAGTATTAAATTCTCCCAAATAAAACAGTCCGCAGTAGCAGAACACACGTGCCAACAAGGACACTCAATTGATTTTGATAATGTTGAAGTACTGTGCAAAACTAGCTACTACTGGTCAAGACTAATTAGAGAATCTATCGAAATTGAAAGAAATCAAAATAAACTTTAATCGTTCGGAGAGCTACCGCCTTCGTGCTGCATGGAAGCAAATCATCAAATAATACACGATTTAAATGCATGCCTACAAAGGGCAGCGTACTTCAATTGGGATTACAGGTGTAGGGCTATTTTAATAAACACAATCGACAGGAAGGACAAGTTAAAAGGGCGCATAATGTACGTTGCCTCAGTAATCCCCCCCCCCCCCCACACATTGTGTAAGAGCGCAGCTGCGTGGGCAACACATCTACGCCTCTAGATAAGGAACGAAACAGTAAGACTGACTGTCGCCTGATGAAGCTAGTTGTAATTACTGGCGAAACGTCGTACTCGGATTGTAAACGTTGTAGCTTGGCTCCAACACACCGGTGTGCTATACTAGTATACTACGCTATACACTACACTAGTGCTGTACTAGTGACGAATTGCCATGTTCTGTTTACGTGTCTGTGTCGGGTGGTGGCGGGTTTTGACGACACATTTATACATTTACGCGATCTAACCCAAAAAACCTCTTATGGACGTTAATGGAATTCATAATTAGTTTATCATTTTATCCCGTATATTGTAAGGGGGTGGAATGACATCACTTGTATCTTGCACCCAACCACAGATTTTTAGGGAAGTGATAAGACGTTTTGTGAAAATAATATTTGTAAAGTATGCATATTCCCCCAATCTTCAACAAGTGTAAAGATCTGGCCTTTGGTATTTTTGGCGAGCTATATCGTTACATTTGTAACGTTTCGGGGTTTTTGTGAATAAATTACAAATTCCTTGGTTGGACAGACATGGTGTGCGTTACAATACAGGGGGAAAGCGGTGTTCATTATAAACCAGACAGCACGGCCAGGGCTGCTCAGACGTGGGGGGGGGGGGGCAAAAGGGTTAATCTACAGTCGGCCTCACAAAAGACGGCTGGTTTTATTTTGTCACTAATATGTTAGGGAGCCCCCACATGGCATTCTGCCCCGGGTCTCCAACCTTGGGTCTCCAGAAGCCTTCACCCCACCCTGGCCAGGGCTGCCGAGGCAGGGTGCGGGGAGGGCAAAAGGGTTATTTGCAGTCGGCCTCACACAAAAGAGGCCCTCACATTGGGCCTGTTTATCTTCTCGCTAATATGTTAGGGCGCCCCCACATCTTATTCTGTCCCGGGTCTCCAGCAGCCTCTGATCTACCCCGAATACAGTAGCGGAGTAAATCTGGAACTTGGGTGATTGTGTACCAAGGAAGATGTGCTCAAATCCGCTGGAATCCTGGGCTCCGTTGTAGCGCGAATAGAGGCCGAACCACATCTTCTGCAGGTCCAGCTTGAACTCCTCCACGGTGGTGTACCTCTCTGTGGCAGAGACACACATGGTGGGCTTCAGTCTCGCTCGCGAAATACATGTGCATTGGCGCCATTCTTAAACCACAAGGCGATCGTGAGAGCACAATGGTTCACAGACGTGGGAGGGAGCAGTGTTGCAATGTGGATCGTTCTCAATTGCGAGTAATTGTTTTCGAATGGCCCTACTTTTATTCAAATAACGTCACGGACTCTGTAACATCGACTGCCAAGTCGGCGACATGCACCACTAATCGTTAATACACCGCAATCTCGACCAGGTTGGCCACGGGGCTTGGACTGTGAACCTCCTCAACAAACAGCAATTGTTAGCAAGTGACTTGCGCTCCCGACGGTCAAACTCGGGAGAGCCAGGGACGGGTAAAGTTTGGGAGGAATGTTTGTAAAATTACACACAGGGAAGAATTAAGTTTGAGGAAAGAGCAAAGCTTCCATTTGGAATGTTTGAACTGTATGTCTCTCGTGAGCTTTTGCACCAAATGTGCTGTTGGTCGCTGTGGCATTACGAGGCAGTTGTTGATGGAGTCCGTTGCAAAAGTGAAGGGTCACACAGGGTTTGTGAGACTCCCAGCTGAGAAAAGTATGATTCACCCAAGCAGCTGTTTGTTAGTTTTGCTGTTCTGACGACCAGACACAAGCGGAAGATTAGCAACGAAAGCTGCCTTTTGTTTAACCCACCCCCGAGTGTCTAATAAGAAGTGGAATTCAAGTGAGCATGAGATTGATAGCCCTTAAAAACAGTGGTGGAAATTTCACATTCCTATTGCTGAAAACAATTCATTGGAGAACCACTGATGGCCTTAGAAAGTGGTAGAGTACTCGTTTTATTGACCCTTAAATGGTTGATAACTGAAAAGATCTGCACGAATTGTTCAGTTAACCCCTTGGCAGCCTGGATATCTTTTTTGCAACTCCTGCACCATGGCGAGAAAATGATGTCACCGCCACGCAGGGCAGCCCGTTACCCACCCTTGCCCTGCAGGAAGAGGAAGAGCTCCTTCATGAGCGGCGTGTCGAGGGCGAGGCTCAAGAAGTTCAGCTGCTCCTCGAGCTCGGCGGCGGTGAACGCCTCGGTGGTGCCGGTGATGCGCGCGTAGTTGTCACGCAGCGCGAGGAAGCTCGCGAACGTGGGGCGGTTGAAGAGCACGGCCTCGTTCACCGACGTGAAGAGCCTGCGGACACACGCGACACGGCGGCGCTCAAGGCACAAGTCGGGTGGAGCTCGCGTGGCCCGGGTTGAGGCCGCGGTGGAATGAGAGAGAAGGTCAAGAGCCGGGGAGGAGAGCGAGTGGGAGCCGGGGAGAAGAGCGAGTGAGAGCCGGGGGGGAGGAGAGCGAGTGGGAGCCGGGGAGGAGAGCGAGTGAGCGCCGGGGAGAAGAGCGAGTGGGAGCTGGGGGGGGCGGGAGAAGAGCGAGTGGGAGTCGGGGAGAAGAGCGAGTGGGAGCCGGGGAGAAGAGCGAGTGAAAGCCGGGGAGGAGAGCGAGTGGGAGCTGGGGGGGGGGGGGGGAGGAGAGCGAGTGGGAGCTGGGGGGGGGGGGAGGAGCGGGGGGGGGGGGGGAGGAGCGGGGAGGGGGGGAGAAGAGCGGGGAGGGGGGGAGAAGAGCGGGGAGGGGGGGAGAAGAGCGGGGAGGGGGGGAGAAGAGCGGGGGGGGGGGGGGGGAGAAAGAGCGGGGGGGGGGAGAAGAGCGGGGGGGGGAGAAGAAGCGGGGGGGGGAGGGAGAAGAGCGGGGGGGGGGGAAAGAAGAGCGGGGGGGGGGGGAAAGAAGAGCGGGGGGGGGGGAAAGAAGAGCGGGGGGGGGGGGGGAAAGAAGAGCGGGGGGGGGGGAGAAGAAGAGCGGGGGGGGGGGGGGAGAAGAAGAGCGGGGGGGGGGGGGAAGAAGAGCGGGGGGGGGAGAAGGGGGGGGGAGAAGAAGAGCGGGGGGGGGGGAGAAGAGCGGGGGGGGAGAAGAGCGGGGGGGGGAGAGAGGGGGGGGGGAGAAGAGCGGGGGGGGGGGAGAAGAGCGGGGGGGGGGAGAAGAGCGGGGGGGGGGGGAGAAGAGCGGGGGGGGGGGGAGAAGAGCGGGGGGGGGGGAAAAGAGCGGGGGGGGGGGAGAAGAGCGGGGGGGGGGGGAGAAGAGCGGGGGGGGGGGGGGAGAAGAGCGGGGGGGGGGGAGAGAAGAGCGGGGGGGGGGGGGAAAAGAGCGGCGGGGGGGGGGGGGGAAGAGCGGGGGGGGGGAAAGAGCGGGGGGGGGGAGAAGAGCGGGGGGGGGGAGAAGAGCGGGGGGGGGGGGAAAAGAGCGGGGGGGGGGGGGGAGAAGAGCGGGGGGGGGGGGGAGAAGAGCGGGGGGGGGGGGGAGAAGAGCGGGGGGGGGGGAGAAGAGGGGGGGGGGAGGAGAAGTGCGGGGGGGGGGGAGAAGAGCGGGGGGGGGGGGAGAAGAGCGGGGGGGGGGGGAGAAGAGCGGGGGGGGGGAAGAAGAGCGGGGGGGGGGGGAGAAGAGCGGGGGGGGGGAGAAGAGCGGGGGGGGGGGGAGAAGAGCGGGGGGGGGGGAGAAGAGCGGGGGGGGGGGGGAGAAGAGCGGGGGGGGGGGAGAAGAGCGGGGGGGGGGGGGGGGAGAAGAGCGGGGGGGGGGGAGAAGAGCGGGGGGGGGGGGGAGAAGAGCGGGGGGGGGGCGGAGAAGAGCGGGGGGGGGGGAGAAGAGCGGGGAGGGGGGAGAAGAGCGGGGGGGGGGAGAAGAGCGGGGGGGGGGGAGAAGAGCGGGGGGGGGGGGAGAAGAGCGGGGGGGGGGGGAGAAGAGCGGGGGGGGGGGAGAAGAGCGGGGAGGGGGGAGAAGAGCGGGGGGGGGGGAGAAGAGCGGGGGGGGGGGAGAAGAGCGGGGGGGGGGGGAGAAGAGCGGGGGGGGGGGGAGAAGAGCGGGGAGGGGGGAGAAGAGCGGGGGGGGGGAGAAGAGCGGGGGGGGGGGGGGAGAAGAGCGGGGGGGGGGGGGGAGAAGAGCGGGGAGGGGGGAGAAGAAGAGCGGGGAGGGGGGAGAAGAGCGGGGAGGGGGGAGAAGAGCGGGGGGGGGGAGAAGAGCGGGGGGGGGGAGAAGAGCGGGGGGGGGGGGAGAAGAGCGGGGGGGGGGGGGGAGAGAAGAGCGGGGGGCGGGGGAGAAGAGCGGGGGGGGGGAGGAGAGCGAGTGGGAGCCGGGGAGGAGAGCGAGTGAGAGCCGGGGAGAAGAGCGAGTGGGAGCTGGGGGGGGGAGAAGAGCGAGTGGGAGCGGGGGGGAGAAGAGCGAGTGGGAGCCGGGGGGGAGAAGAGCGAGTGGGAGCCGGGGGGGAGAAGAGCGAGTGGGAGCCGGGGGGGAGAAGAGCGAGTGGGAGCCGGGGGGGAGAAGAGCGAGTGGGAGCCGGGGGGGAGAAGAGCGAGTGGGAGCCGGGGAGGAGAGCGAGTGAGAGCCGTGGAGGAGAGCGAGTGGGAGCCGTGGAGGAGAGCGAGTGGGAGCCGTGGAGGAGAGCGAGTGGGAGCCGGGGAGGAGAGCGCTGACCGCTGGGAGGAGTGGTCCGTCCCCGCGCCCGTCTGCGAGTTGGCGATGAGCGTTTGCTTGTTGAGCGAAATGTCGGAGGCGGCAGCGCGGTTTGTGTCCAGGGACAGCAGCTTCTCCGTCAAGGCCTGCACCTCGGCCTCCGTGATCAATGTGGGACTGGGAGGGGCCCCTCCCTCGCCTGCAGCCGAGAGAAACAGGTGAGAGGCGCTCGCCTCAATCGCTCGCACACTCACTGAGTGACTTACTATCTCACCCAATTTCCCATTCACTCGCTCACCCACTCTTTATTCACTGACTCGCCCACTCAGTCACCCACTCATTTTTACCCACACAGCTGCCGATTTACTCAATCAACCACCCACAGTATCACGCAGCCATTCATTGTTTCCCGTACTCATGCTAAATGCCAAATTCACACCTGCCGTGTGCTGATGAGGGTGCACGGGATTTAAGTTTAGACTTTAGAGCATCACGTATGCATGCGGAGGTGCTGTATTTCTATCGCTCGTCTAATCCGTTGTGTTTTAACAGTGGCATCTGCCACCCACAGCATGCATCGAGCTGCAATTATAACTGAAGTCGCGTTTGACTTTCGAGACTCATTGGGACGTCTAACCGCATTCGTGTTGGATATTCCTGCATGCGGGAGGAGGACGCCTGGGTACCAATATAAACCCACGCATGCGAAAGTGTGACGCCTGTTGTACTCACACAGTGCGTTGTAGTCGGAGCAACAGTTGGAGTACTGGGGACACTTGCTGTTGCAGTGGCACGGGTTCGTTGCCACGTAGGCCTCATTGCAGCGACCCTTGCATGACAGCAACGCTGCAGGACCACACAACCACAACAACCACAGCAACACTGGAGGAGGAGAACAACCACCATCCATTTGGTGACAGCGACACATTGTATGGAGGGTGTGCGTGCGCGCTATGAAGCGTGACCAGAGGGGTGAAGGGTCGTGTGATCAGGGTTCAGCTGTGGGTGAGTGCAGGTCGAGGTGATATGTGGGTGAGGTGAGCTGTGGGTGAGTGCAGTGAGGTGAGCTGTGGGTGAGTGCAGTGAGGTGAGCTGTGGGTGAGTGCAGTGAGGTGAGCTGTGGGTGAGTGCAGTGAGGTGAGCTGTGGGTGAGTGCAGTGAGGTGAGCTGTGGGTGAGTGCAGTGAGGTGAGCTGTGGGTGAGTGCAGTGAGGTGAACTGTGGGTGATTGCAGTGAGGTGAGCTGTGGGTGAGTGCAGTGAGGTGAGCTGTGGGTGAGTGCAATGAGGTGAGCTGTGGGTGAGGTGATCTGTGGGTGAGTGCAGGTCGAGGTGAGCTGTGGTGAGTGCAGGTCGAGGTGAGCTGTGGTGAGGGCAGTGAGGTGAGCCCCTGGCTCACAGTTGCACAGGGCGAAGTAGTCGGCGCAGCAGTCGCCGTAGCGCTCGCACGCGCTGTTGCACTGACACGTGAACGCGTTGTCGAGGGGGGCATCGCAGCGACCCTCGCACGAGTCCACGGCGCCTGGGGGAGGGGGGGGGGGCACGGAGTAAGCGATCAGAGGCAGCTTCCCACGGTGGCTGGGAAGGCACTCGCGAGCTCACGGGCGCGTCTCTACATGGCGAGAGTGTGGAGAGAGAGAACACTGCAGGAGCTGCCTCTTGTGACAGGGGAGAGGGAGCAGGAGAGACCTCCTGTGCCGCTCTCGTGGTGAGAGAGAGTCGTGTGGCACACACACGGGGGGGGGGGGGTACTCACGGTAGGGGAGCGCGTCTACCCGGCAGAGTGCGGCAAGAGCCAGGAGCGTCCAGGAAGCGATGAGGAGAGCCATGGCGCTAGAGGAGGAGAGCGATGGAGAGAGCCACTCGCGCACCCTTTATAGCGCGGGGAGCGGCGACCTTGAGCGCGACGTGCCGAGGCCCTCCCCAGCCCCTTCGTTAGCCAACTACCACGACTCACCGATATCAAGACCCACCCCATAACCACCACTACCCAGCATCAACAACAACCACCACCAAGGGTGGCAGTGCGGCACCCTACGATATTTTTTTCGTATCTCGTATTCAAACAAAAAATATCGTGGCGTAATTTCGTACCGTACCATTGAAAAAATGTTCGTGCCATACATTTGTTGGATTGTGATATTTCTTTTTTATCTACGTGGCTTTACCGAAAGATCCAAATAATATTTGTTGGATTGTTATTGCTCGCATTGACAAAAAATATTTAAATCCCAAATCGTGTAAATTCGTAATATGTTTTAAAAGGCTTAACATTTTCATTCGTTAGCAATGGCAAGTGGCATTTTGCCGTGTTAGTTTTTGATAACCGATATGTTAAATTCGTGTAGCCGCCTTTAATGACAAGAGAGTAGAATTAATATCAGGAATTAAGAAGCTTAGCTTCGAATTCATTGATCACCTGAGCTTGTACGAAAAGAGTACAAAATGCTACGAAAAAACCCCATTCATTCGTACCGTAGCTAATGAAAAAACACCAAACCGTACTTCACCGTTGTCCATGACCACCACCACCACCCAGCATTAACAACCCCCACCACTTCCCACCCCCACCAACAACAAGAACAACCGCCATTCGCCACTAAGTGGCAGTGACGTCACCACAACGCTTGTGCCAGGCCATGTGCACGTTGAGGCCACGTGAAGTGTCGAACGCCCGCTGGCAGGAGGTCATGGGGCAGACCCAGGTGCCACGGGTCGACTAACTGAGATGACCGAGATGACTGAGATGACTGGCTGATGCACAACCTGTGCCCCCTACTGTGCCAACTTGCTGTGCTTTAGTCACCCGGCACTCCGCTCGTTGTTGTGAGCGTCACTCCTCCGCCCTCCATTGTTGTTGGAGGGCGACTGCCTCCAGCTGCCCAATAGCATCCTTCACGACCCTCCTCCACAGAGGCCGATCTTGACACCGCTGGTACCAGTCATCGGCAAATCCACTCAGCTCCACATCCTCCTGTACCCGATAAATCCATCCATCTATTCTCTAGCCCGTGCCGCGCCCGTTCAGCCCCCTCGATCCGGCTGAACAAAAGCTATTTAGGCATGCGCTGGCTGGGCATGCGTGCTACATGACCCAGCCAACACAGCCTTGCCTGCTGGAGGAGTTCACCAATGGGACTTTGTCCAGATCTTTCAAGGATTTGTGAGCTCCTCACACAATCCAGCCTGGTTAAACCCAGGATGGATCGTAGACAGGGTAGCCGAAATGTTTCTAACCGGCGAAGATGTTTTATTAGGGGGGGTCCACGTTTCACAAGTGTAGAGAATGGAGGGAATGACTGTGGCCGAGAAGACCTGAATCTTCGTGCGGAGCGACAGATCAGGTAGCTTTCACGCAGCGTTATGTAACCGATGAAAAGATAATGCCGCTCGACTGATTCGGAGTGAGACCTCTGCTGTCAAACTGGAGCCGGTCATGAGCACACTGCCCAAAATGGAAAACTCTGCACTCTCTCCACAACTGCTCTGTCACCAATTGGGAGTTGTAGGGGTGGAGTGTCCGATGGTACAAAATACCCAGGCAGGTGCTTAGTTTTGGTGGGGCTGATGGTAATGTCCCACCTCTTAGTGGCAAGCTCCAGGTTCGGCAGCAGCGCCTCAAACTCCTCCTCTGAGTGAGCAGTAATTACAAGATCATCGGCATACATAACATGGTTGAGCAACAGGGAGCCATCCCTTTACCGTCCCTGGGCATCAATCAGCCTCCCATTGTATCTGTACCAGATGGAAATTCCTCCGGTACAGCTATTGAAGGCTTCACGAACTACGTGGTCGAAATATATGTTAAATAATGTGGGAGCCAGAGGACATACCTGTCGCACTCCCAAGGTGAACAGGGGATGGCTCCGACTCCCGGCCACGTAGTTTTACCCGGGCCCGCTCACCATCATTAAGATCTTTAATGATCGTGAGCAGAGGACCAGCGACTCCGAAAGCACGAAGAACAGCCCAGAGCCCAGGCCTACTGATGGCATCATAGGCTGTGACCAGGTCAATAAAGCAGAGATGTAGGTCTTGTTGGAATTCCCTACACCTTTACTGTAGCAGATGGACAGAAAATATGGCATCTGTGCAGGACCGCCCTTTCCTGAAACCGCATTGGGGCTCTGCAAGCCTATCCTCAACGTGCCTGGAAAGGCGATGTTGAATAATCCTTGCCGGGACCTTTCCCGGCACACTGAGTGAGATGCCCCTGTAATTATTACAGTCTGTGCAGACCCCCTTCTTAAAGAGGGGGACCACCAGGGCATCCTTCCAATCCTGTGGAACCCGTCCAGTGGTCCAGACTGTTATGATGTCATGTAGGACAGTCTGTCCACAAACGCCACCCTCCCTCAGCATTTCGCTTGGGAGATCATCTCTGCCCAGTGCCTTTCCTGGTCTCAGACTCTGGATTGCCTTCAGTACTTCCTCAACAGATGGCACCTCAGCCAGCCACTCACAGGGGGTGACTTCTTCCAATATTTGAGGCACCGCAGCCTCAGCAAGGTCATCCCCACTTTGTCCCACGATGTTTTCCAGGCTGAGGGATTTCCCCTCCCACAGGACCTCACAGAAATGCTCAGCAAATGTGCAAACCTATTCCTGGGGGTCGGAGATTGGATCACCGTTCTTTCCCCTAATGATGGTAATAGGTGTGGCGCTGCAAGTTACTTTTTTTATGGAGTTAAAGAGCGATTTGTGATCGCGGGACATTGAGGCAGACTCCATCTCCACCACCCATCCTTGCAGTGCCTCACGGCTCTCCGAACCTCCGAGCGAAGGCTGCGGTGAGCCTCCTCATTCTCTGACGTGTTATACTGTAGACGATGAGAGTGGGCCTGTCGCTTTTTCTCAGCTAGCCTGAATACCTCCTCTGTTAGCTAGGGTCTCTGGGGAGGTCTGGACCGTGTAACCAAAGCAGACATTTCAGCTGCATGAGTCAGGAGGAGTGGGGGACGATGCCAACCCCAGCTGCAAGCGATGATGAAATTCTCGCTTGTAACTTTCATCAGCTAGCTGAGAACATGCCACTATGGGTTTGAATGGGGTCCTGGGTGTACACCCACCACGGGAGTGGAAGAATGGCAGGCGCATCTTACAGATGACAAGTCAATGGTCAGTGGGCAGATCAGCTCCACGGTAGATCCTGTTGTCAATGACATGGGCCCGCATCCGCTGTTCCGTCACTATGTAGCCCAGCAGGTGTTCTTGCTTGGCCCCGGCATGCATCCATGATGTTGTGTGGTTGCGCCGATGCCGGAACAGCGTTTTGGTAATTACAAACCCATGGGCTTCACAAAAATCTCGCAGCCTCCTCCCGTTGTTATTGAGCTGATCTGGCCCATGCCTTCCAATTACTCCAGACCAGGTGCCAGAATCATGACCAACTCGGGCATTGAAGTCACCCAACAAGATGACTCTATTCCAAATGGCCACTTTAGCTAGCACCTGTGACAGGAGGTCATAAAAAATTACCCGTAAAAACAAAGTTTTTCATTATAAATCCTTTATATGCGTGGCGGCTAGAGTCCTCTCGTCCTCTGGCTTGAGATGGCTGCCACCTATGGGTCAGATGATTGACTGCCACCATTAAGCAATTGGTAATTAAATATACAAAAAAATTCTAAAAGTGTAAAGTTATGGAAAAAAAATTTCACAAAATAAATTGTCACGCACAACGAGTCTGTGTGCAAAATGTCAGCTCGATTGGATCACGGGAAGTGGGTTAAAAAACGACCGAAAGATTTGCACGGTCGTAAGCGCGCAAGCAAGCAAGTGAACTTAATATAAAGGATTTAAAAGGCATCTGACTCATCGGCCTTGCCTACATCCCTCCACGGATGTTCGTTTTCGGTGGGAGCATAAGTAACCACGACCACCACTCCTCGCCTCTGGTTGATGGGAAGGCGATCCTAAAGTAGCATGGGGCTTACAGCTTCCCACACCTCACTGCCACGTTCCCACACACCTCCCTGTTGTTTGGCAGTCTCCTACCCCGAGTAGAGGACTGTTCACCCCTCATGGTGGCAGATGCCAGAGCCGGTCCACCGGACCTCCTGAATACCACAGAGATCCAGGTTGTACCGGTTGTGCTCCCGACAGAGGAGTGGCAGCCTTTCCTCCGCAGTGAGCGTTCAAACATTGCACATGGCCACCCGTAGTGGCTTTTTGTTGTTTCTGGAGGAGCCCAGAGGGTAAGGATTCAGTCTCCTTGCTCCGCCAAATGGGGTTTGGCCAGGAGACGTCATAGACGCCTGTCCCCCCCCGGGGCCTCCGGCACAAGCTTAATTAAAGTTTTAAATCGTGGTTTAGTGGCAATTAATTGAAGGTTGAGGGGTTACCAGCCCCTCCCCATTTGGCCGCTGTGGTGGTTACAAACGCCATGAGGGGAATGGCCAATCTAAATTGGCCCTCCCCCCACAGCATTGCTCACCACGGCGTTGCCGTCCGGCACCAACGAAGAGGTAGGGGGTTGTTTGTGCCCCCATAAACACCAACACCACAACCACCAACAAGGTTCATCGCTCCAACTCCAGGTGCTCACTTGCTCGAGGCCACCAGGAACTTCACGTGCCCCTTACGGGTCAAAGACCTCCACGTGCGAATTGAGGGGGGGGGGCTTTCAGAGTCGATCCAAATCGACCCCATCTCCGCATCCCGCCTTGCCGAGCCGTCAGACTCAATAAATACTCAGTATACCGAGAGCCGTTTACACGGAGCCGATGGAGAGGACATCTTAACGAATTCGGCACGTGTGGTGTTTCTCACCACCGTCACTGGAATAAAGCCCACTCAGTAACTATTATAAAAGGAATGCTGTATTATTTTATCAGGGTAATTTATCTATTTGTTACCGAACGCAATGTTCT